TCCAATTTTTTTAACACAATTTTATTACATCATCTTTGTTTATTTATTTTTAAAATGCAACTTTATTATTTCAGTTGTTTTCATTTTTTATAATTTATTATTTTAGTTAACTGTCTTCAATGCTTGCTTTTGTATATTGATAAAAATAGTTTAAATAAACATTGCCTTGGATAGATCCAACATTTAAGAATAGAGTACTGTAAAATTTTAAAGCTGCAATACACCCTATTTAATTACTTGACATAGCTCATATTTCAATGTTTCACCTTATTTTATTCAAACTCTATCCTAATTCTTAATCTAAAAGAATATTTAAATACTTTTTGTACTAAAAGATTTAATAAATTAATGAATATATATTTTTAAATAAAGTCAAAATTTAACTTGATGAAATGGTGATGATATTTTTTTGCATTAGCTAAAATATTATACTTAAAAAGATGATTAATTGGCTTAAAATTAAAATTTTTGTACATATATGTACATGCTCGTACAAACAAGTATATATATATACATACACACCGTGACAGATTATTTGTTTAATTCATAATAAACTAAACGACAAAACTCAAGGTGAGGTATTCTGCAAAATGTTACTATTGATAAACAAAATTAATTTTTTTTCAAAAAGTAAGAAAAAAAAACTGCAAAGTAAAAGGACCTCTTTACCATTAATAAACCACATCCTAATAAATGTCTTTTTTTTACTATAAAATTAATTTTCAATTATATCCAATCAACTCTTATTCAAATAAATAAATTATAAAGAACAAGGTGCAAGAGTGTGATTAAATGAAATTAACTAGTACTTCAAGTTTTACAACACATTTATTTGGTTAATGACTTACTGTAATGCTAGGTTGAAGATAAAATAAACAAATCACCGACATTGCCGATTGCTTTTAGAAGGATAAGCATGAATTCAATCCACCGTTATATTAAAAAATTGTAAAAAAAAATAAAAAAATTCTTGTGTGAGACTCAAAGTGTAATATGTGGTATGAAAAGAAAAGACATAAAACAGAGTACATGTAAAAGAATCAGAGATTAATAATAAGACTCCATGACAAACCTAGGTTCACGTCACTTGCATGCATAGCAATGCATGATGTCTGTGATCAAGTATAAGTTACTATTTTGGTTAAGAAACAATAAACGTGCCAACCAGCTCATTGTTTGCATAGAAGATCAAAATGCCTCATCATTCATCAATTCGTGAATCTTATGATCCAAATCTAAACGCTTGTGACGGATCCATGATCGTTTGGACACGCTTTTGTACTTTCTAACTCTCTCTGTTGCTGAGATTTGAAGTGTCTTCTTTAGGTTATGGTTCTTGTCGTCCGTAAATTATGTGATGTACTAAAATATTTATAACCATTATAGAAAGTGTGTAGACATTGAGGTAAAAAAAACTTAATTAAGAAAACAATCACAACGGTTAATTAAAAGTAGTTATTTTATTTAAATTTTTCTTTATATAGATTTATTTATGTATTTTTATCTTGTATAGTAGACTTTAGATTTCAAAATTAATGTTTTCTTTGGTACATGGCCTTTTAAATTTAAATAAATTTTTTAAATAAGAATATAAAAAACATTTTTATTATGAATTTAATTGAAATATAATCATGATATATAATCTTTCTATATTATCATTTAATTATAAATGGTCATATAATTAAAAATTATTAATTTTTATAATAATTTTTTAAAAAAGATAATCATAAAATACAAATCAAAATACAGACAACTTAAGATGCTCACAACCCTTAGACACCTAAGACTAAGGATATCTTCTAAGGATATCTTCAAACAAGCACTTTGGCACACTTAATATAGCAACTGCCATCTTGTCCTCTATGAAAGCAATCAATCCTCCATTGTTCACTAATCTAATGACATATTTTGACTCACCTTTTTCAGCCATCAAGTCCTCAACACTCTGTGTAAGCACAACAATAAGATGTATCCATGGAATAAATTTTAAACTTTTGAAAAAATGAAGAAAATCATGAAAATTATTTGTATGAATTAAGAGATGTCAGCTACATGTATATTGATTAGATATAAAGTGTTAGGTTTTAATTTTCATTTGAGATTAGTTAAATTTAAGTAATAAAGCTTGAAAGAAAAAAAAAATGTAATAAAATCAGGATAAATTATACTTTATCTGTCATGTAGTGTTTTTTTTTTTCAAAGTAACATTTTGATATCGCATTACATACATGTCCAATGTTATGAATGTTAAAGTGAAGAAATTCAAAGGCAAGAGTAATTATAACTCTGTTAAAATAGCTAAATATCTTTCAATATGAGTTACATATTATAATTTTAAGGAATATAAAGTATAAAATAAAAACTTAAATTTAATATATAAAAAATGTCAGAAAATATAAATTTTCATTTCACGATTCCCACTTTGACTTGTTAAAAAATATAAACTTGAAATTAGAATATCATAAATTTTAGTGTTTTCATGTAGACATGAAAAATACCTGTCTCTACTGCTACAGTGCTACTACCACACTGTGTGTGTAATTCATGTCTGGTTGTTTTCATGTCTGAAAAAGAATATTTTAGGCAACGTATAGTTAATGTTTTTTAAAAAAATAAGTGTAATTTCTTCTTATAATTTAATGTTTTTTAATCTATTTCCTCTTTTTTTCTATCAATTATTTTTTTGTGTGTAGAAAATAAAGTGAAATGAAAAATAACACTAAAAGTAACATGAAAGCAAAATAAGTATATGAAAATTTAGTGAAAAAATCAAAGAAATAAATTGAGAAAGTTAAACTGTACGAGATAAAGTATAATTTATCTAAAAAGTTAAACTGGTCATCAAATCAAGAAAAACAATTGGTTCACGAACTTTCACAAGTCTTATCGTAATTATTAAACCAATAATAGTCAAATATATTTTTAATAATTTATGATACATCACAAGTAAAAAAAAGGCATAAAATTCTAAGAAAAAAAATTTAAATAAATATTTAAAGTAATAATCCTAAACATAACAATCTATATATAAAAGTAATAAAACCTTGTACAAGATTTCACAAATTTATGTATTATTTTAATTTAATTAGAATAGTATTTTAGTTGAATTAAAAGTAATAAAAAAATCAATTCAAAGAAATTTGTCTAATTCCCACCGTTAATTATAATCAAATTAAATTGTGTTTGCATGTAAGCAGAAGCATCCATCCCTTGGTGAATAGAAAGCATTCTCTGGTTCAGTTCAGTCGGCCAGCCAAGGATAATGCTTTCACCTCAAATAAGGTGCTGCTTATAACAGTAAATTTTATATCTTTAATAAATCAATAATAAATAATAATATATTTAGATACAAAAATTTATTATTGTAAAATTTATAAGAACATATTAAAAAGAGTATTCATAAAAAATATTTATTATTATAAAAAATATTTTAATGAGTTTAGTAAAAAATTATTAAAATAAAAAAATAATTTATAAAAGTCATTAACTATGTTCTTAAGCTCTTTCCTTCCTTGAAATGCATTATAAGTTATTAATCATGAAAACTATTCGCCAGGGCGAAGAGATAGCTTGCAAATGCCAATTTAGTTAATTAATTATTAGTGTCATTTATTCCAGCTCACCACTTCTCTTCCAGGTATGTGAAACATGTTTAACTTGATACCTATTCAATTTAAAATTTTCATAGGGTTTAACATAACTGGCTAAATCATATAACTGAAGAATGATAAAAGTTAAGATATATTTTTAGTTTATATTTCAAAATAAACATTCTTAATATAAATATAATGTTATATTATATCAAATATTTGTCACTTTATTTTAAATTAAGTATTAATTAAACTTAATTATACTTTTACTCTCTAATTCAGTTAAAAGTGTAATTGATTCTATTAATTAAACAATTTAATTATTGTTAATATGTAATTCTTAAAAGAATATAACTCTTAGAAAAAGAAGAATATAAAGAGTTAAGGTAACCTAAAATGTAGTTGAAATTTATTCTTAAAATATATTGAGTATAGTTATTGAACTTATGTAAAATTTAATTTTGAGTAGAGTCATAAAATAAAATTGGGTTAATCAAAATTTGATCGATAAAATATAAAGTTTAAACTTTAAAATTTTAGACCAAATTAAATCATGACAATTTTTAACTTGATTTGATTAAATCTGGTATGGGTTAAACTTGTTTATTACTAAAAATAAATAAATTTTTATTTATTTATTATACTGTTTTTATGAAATCAAATTCACTTTAAACTTTTTTTTAATACAATTTACTAAAACTTGTGGGCTAACCTGAGCAAGTCAAGTTTCCTGTTTTGTTAATTATAGATAAATGAAATAAGAAAGTCTCCGTATATTTCTTTCATTTATCCTAATGCTAAAACTTGGTTTAATTTATTCGGTAGTTCATTATAACATAGTCTGAAAAACCTTAAAAAAAAACTATTTTATTTTTTCAGTGGTTAGAATTTGAAACTTAATAAAAATAACAAGAATAAAAATGATAATTATATTTATATTTGAAAAATATTTTTATTTTTCTTATTTTTTTATTTGGTATCTACTTTTATTCTAACAAATTTTTAAAACATGTGTAACATTACACATGATAAATAAATTATTGTTAAAAATTATAGTATTTAATATTATTAATATATTAAAAAATTAATAATTTATAGTAAAAAAAAGCACCAGAAGAGATGTAGAAGTAGATTACAAAAGCGGGGAACATGTGTGGACCCACTTGAAACTTCCCCGCATCTCTTACATATAGGAGCGAGGCCATCATGTGGTTTAGCTCATCAACACCTGCAAAAGGTACATTGATTTCCCCACTTTGCAATTGTATTTGAGTTTTGCTATGTATTCAAAGTTTCATAGGAGAAAGTAACTGTACGTAATCGGAGAAACGAGGAACCAACAGAACAACCACAGTTAGTGTGCTCTGTCCCCACTCTAATCGCTATCTCCACCTCAAGATCCTCGAAGGAATGGTACCCGAGAACGCAGACACTTCAAGCAGTTTTAGACGAGTGCGCAGCGACAACTCTGCTCCTAAAACCCCCGACACTTTGTCACCTAATGAATGTATGTAATCGCTTCAAATATTTTCATTTGATATAAAATATATCATAATCTTATACTAATTCACATATAAGAGTGAAAATATTTTTATTTACACACACATTCTCACTCAATTTTATTCTTTTTATTATTATTAATATAAATCACAATCCATTGCTCATGTCAACGTTTGCAATGTTAGTAACGTGGTTTCACTAGTTCAAATATGATAAAATAAAAATTGATTTAAACAGCAACGATTTATTTTCACTGCCCGAAAATGCTTTTTCTGTTTGTTTGTCAAATTACATGGATTAATATTTATTAAACCCGTCATGTGTTTCCTCTTTGCATGTTGCAGTTCCTGCTGCTAAAATGGACACAAAGGATTCAGCTGACAGAGGTGGTTTTAAAAAATTTCTGTATTTAATCATTGAGTATTAATAGATAAACAACCTATATTCATTTTTCATCAGATGCTGCGCTTGCGAGGGTTGAATTAGACAAAAGACTGGCTCTAATTAAAGCATGGGAAGAAAGTGAGAAGACAAAAGCAGAGAACAAGTAAGATATATATATATCTCATCTAATAGTTTGTTAGCTTTAGAATGAGGTGACGTGTAAGAGCCCCGGTTACGGAATTAATCGAGTCTTAACAATCAACTTTACGGGTTGGTTGATTTTAAAATTGAGTAAAATTAATTTTTAAGGGTTAAATATATTTAAAATATGTATGTAAATTAATTTAAATTTCATGTATTCATTGAAATATTTTTTTTATTAAAAATGAAAAAATTAAATAATGATATGGTTTATGAAAAATTTACCCTTCCATATATATTAGCTTTTAGAACATCATAATATTTATATCAAGCAATCAAGTTCCAACTTGGCTCATGTTCAACAATAAAATTTAGGCATGTTTTTGGCTTGGTTAATTAGGAGTGTGTTTTCACCATTTAGACGAGTAGCAGAAGGTATTGGATTTCATTAATTGATAATTGCTACAAATTTGTTTATAATTGAACAACTCTTCTTTGAGGCATTAGTTTTACTTCACGTTCTTATAATTTTTTGAACAATGAAACCAGGTTTTATGTTAAATTCACTACGTTGTAAAAAAATTGAGATATTTGCATGACTTTGAAGTATTGAAGAAATGTTAAAGTGTCACTATTCACTTGCAAATTTAATCATTTTGGTTGGCTGTAATTCTCATCAATATATACATTATTGATGTACACTTCATAAATGTTTATGAACAATGTAACTGAAGCAAGATATTATCATTGTTTGTTTGTGACTATGTTATTTTGTAGTGAAGTTCAAATACGAAATATTAGCCAATAACCTCTTCATGTTCCATTCTCTATTCTGAGTGCTGGGTTTGATGAATGTGAAACTGTGAAACATGAAACAGGGCATATAAGAGGCATTCTGCAGTTGGGTTGTGGGAGAATAGTAAGAAAGCATCAGCGGAGGCAAATCTCAAAAGAATTGAGGTCATATATGTTCAATTAACGTAACAATGTAACTGCTATTTTATGCCAGTTATGTGATCTTAATGTTATATGAAAACCTTTTGTATTTAACAGGAAAAATTGGAAAGAAACAAGGCCGAGTGTGTTGAAAAAATGCAAAATAAAGTTGCTGAAATTCATCGATCCTCAGAAGAGAAAAGGGCATTGATTGAAGCCCAAAAAGGAGAAGATTTTCTCAAGATAGAGGAGAAAGCTGCAAAGTTTCGTACCCGTGGGTATCCCCCAAGGAAATGTCTTCCATGCTTCGGTAGTTAAAGGTTTTTCAGCCAAAAGCAGAACACCAATTTCTCACTGTCTTGCCTTTTTGTTGTCGTAAAATACATTTAAAACTTACTTTCATGTCGTTTATTTGTAATTAGAACCGGACAAGTATATTTGCATATTTAAAAAATTTACATTATTTAGATGATAAACTAAAAGAAAACATATAAATGCACATGTTTTAACGTATGCGTTTCTTTGTTTTTTCCTCCTGAATAGGCGTAGACACAATTATACCTTTGGTTTGATTCAAACAGGGTGAGTGTATTATACCTAAAAATAGTAAAATTTTACTAAGAACGTTAAAATAAATTTACCTTTAAATAATTTTGACATAACTAAACATGACATAAATTAGTTGAACAAACCTTAATTGACAATTTTCGGAAAATCAAATTCGTGCTTAACCTGAAAAATAAATTGGCGTTCATTTCATGCCTTTGTTACGACCCTCTTCGGGACAAAAGTGGGGGATACATCATTACCATAACAAGAATTACATTACATACTTACATAACACTCTTTCTTCGTTTTAACCTTATTTATCTCTTTATCTTATTTTTTTGTCATGATATATTCACAATATGCACATATTAATAAACTCCTAAAAAAAGTATAAACACAATAACAAGTGTAGAAGTATCATCCTCGAATGAACAAATTCATGCATGTTAACAAATTTCGTGAAAGACTTGGTCAAAGGATGTGGTGTCTCATGCCATTAACTTCCGATTAAGTTGGTGACTATAATTAGAGAAGGGAATTTGTGACACATTAATCGAAAAGGCAAAATTAAGAACCCCATGTGTTTGCATTATTTGTCAACACTTAACCGAATGCACCTTCTCCACCCATTTCATGAATTTTCATTTTTCGAACCTGTAATTTCGCACGAGAACGCAAGTACAAGAGGACGGTGGAAGGTGACACAATCCATTTCATCGTAACGTGCTATACGACGATATATAAACCCAAACTCCTTTGTTTTTCGTGCTAGCTTTCCATTAATTCCAATAACAGAAGTAAATTCTGTTGTCGATTATTGATTGATTTTGACTAGCTAGTACGAGAAAAAGATAAATAAAATAAAATAAATGGCGTTCAGCGGGACCCAACAAAAGTGCAAGGCTTGCGATAAAACTGTCCACTTCGTCGAATCTTTATCTGCCGATGGAGCTGTTTATCACAAAAACTGCTTCAGATGCAGCCATTGCAATGGTCTTCTTGTGGTTCGTATTTGTTTATGCCATGATCGATCCTTTGCTCATGATAATAGGACCGTTTTCTTGCATCTAAAATGCATTTTATTAAATATTTTAATTGCCTTAAAAGTATGTATTGAGGAATTACTTACAAGAGTTTAAGAAAATAGTTTATGATTTTCATGTTTTATAAATAATTAATTTTATGTCATAAATTTTATGCAATAACAAATTATTGAATATTAGATAAGTAACAAATGAAGTTATTTATCTAAATGTGTTCTAAATAATTTTATGATTAATATTTGTTAAAACTTTCCCAATGTCAATAAAGTTGAACCACCCAAGAAAGAATCTAAATTTTCATTGATTGCAGATAAGCAACTACTCATCGATGGAAGGAGTTTTGTACTGCAAGGTTCACTTTGAGCAGCTTTTCAAGGAAACTGGAACCTACACCAAGAAATTCCAGTCGGGTAATACCCTTTTTGCCACTTGCACATAAAATTGTATTAACAAGCTGTTGTGTACTATTTTTGGAACTAATGAATCATACTCTTGTTTCATAATTTTCAATCAGCTGGAAAGCCTCCAAACGAGCTGGTGTGTATTCTTTTATTAGCTTGAACTATATATTTCACTAATAGTGTCAATTTATATCATTTTCATCAATTGTTCAATGAATTACAGTCTAGAGCCCCTAGCAAACTTTCAGCTTTCTTCTCTGGAACTCAAGACAAATGTTCAAAATGCAAGAAAACCGTGTATCCATTGGAAAAGGTTCGACAGAATATCCCACATTCTTTGTTCAGCAGATCTTTATTTGCATGTTTACGTCAATTCTTATTATTAATTTTAAGTAATTAGAACCGATAAATTTTTATTAAAACAATTATAATATTTAAGATTATAATTTGCATGCTAACGCAGTTTGTGAAATGAATTTGTGTTCATGACAGTTGACCGTTGAAGGTGAGTTTTACCACAAATCATGCTTTAGGTGTGCACATGGAGGATGTTTCCTCACTCCTTCATCCTATGCTGCTCTTGATGGATTTCTGTATTGCAAGCCTCACTTCTCTCAGTTGTTCAAGGAGAAAGGTAGTTATAGTTATCTATCCAAGACAGCTTCCATGAAGAAGAACGAAGAGCAAATGGCTGCTGAGAAAACTGAGGATAAGACAGAGTCAGAAACAGAGAAAGAGACAGAGAAGACAGAGACAGAGGCAGAGGCAGAGACAGCAAAGGAAGCAGAACAAGGTGACGATGATGCTGTCCCCGCGCAAGAGTAGTGGTTGATGGAACAAAGATTCGGCAAAGAGGCACTTCACATGCGTCTTTGCGCTTGTGATTTCTTTATGGCTACAACCCCGTTTGGGCCATTTTGTTTCTGATTGATTTAATGGTGGGGTTGTGATCATTTGGGAAGAATCCAGCAAAACTATTATTATTGTGTTCCCTTAATTTGTAAACAAACGTTGATGTAAACGGTTAAGTGTTGTGTTCTTTGGGGGTATTTTAGACGTGTCTGCCCCTAGGCATTTCAGATGTAATTTAATTCATTCTTTGGGTGGTTTCAATCTCATTTTGCTTTAATATAAAGGATAATAAATAAGATACTTCGGGAAAAAAAAACTTCGATGTTCCATTTATGAAATTTCTTAAAATAAAAACAATTTTTAATGGAAGGAGTGAGTTTTCTAGCATCTACTATGCCCCTCTTTGAGTCTTGACAGTTCATCCATGTAACTGCGTGCCTCGTCTGGATTCCAAAATTTTGTTTTGTGTAGGAGGGTTTGTCATTCAACTTTGCCTTGGTTAGTTCTACATCCATTTACTTTTGAATTTGGCTAAGCATTCATTAACTCAGTTAATCTATTTAATAGCAAAAAGTGTCAAACTTTCAACCTGATCGCCATTTTAATATGCTAGAAAAATTCAATTCATTTTAGTCTAACAATTTTGTTCAACTTATTTTACCTTAATTTTTTTCTTAACCTTGTCAATTATCCAATTTTCAGCTTCTCATTTGATCTAGCTTAACAATTTTTTTTTCTTTTTTTGTGTTAATGTAAACTAATTTGGCATATTAAACTACCATTCTGTTGGTACAATATTTGAGAGCAGTTTTAATGGGAATTTCTTGGATTTGGATTGGGCGTTGTTAAAAGATAAAATATTACAGTTAAAAGTATTTTATCAGTATAATTCATCTGAAACTTTTTGTGCTTCCACGTTACTTCTTAAAAATGGAAGAGAAATTGAACAACACAACACCTTCTTAAGATTCATATTAATTAAAAACTCATTATTGAAGTAAACTCAAGAATAATTTTTTTAATTAAATATTGATTTAAATTAAGTTCTTATTAATTATAAAATTTTACAATAAAGCTATAAAAAATATAATATTTACATAAAATAACTTGCAATGAATAAAGTATAAATATCTATAATTGTACTAATCATCACATTATTTTCATGCACCTAATATTATAAAATATCATAGTTCAAAATATCTGAGTATTAAATTAATTATTTATTAACCAGATTAATAGTTAATTATTTTAAGGGGGTAGAAGCCACGTCACTATGTGTGAGATAACCCTTCCGGTTCCCCCTTCTTGCTACTCGCTAGCCGTTTATCCAAAGGCAAGGTTTCTGTTTGAGTCTGTGTGAGAAGAGAGCACTAATAAAACCCTTCTCAACTCTGATGATAATAATAATAATAGTTGTGAATTGAAATTCGGAGGAATATGGGAACGCTTCCTCTCACAAGTAAACCCTTATTCACTCAGTTTCATTGCTTTTCATCACACAGAAGAAGAACTACAACGACAACCGTTTCTCTGAATCAGAGACACAAGGTCTTCGCCTCACGATTACATTCACAAGATGAAGAACCCCCTCAACTCGATAGCTACGACCTCATGGAACTCAAGTTCGGTCGGTTAATCGGAGAGGACCCCAAGCTCACTCTTGCCAAGGTTTCGGAATAACAATGTTTCATTTATTAATAACTTTGTTTATATGTTTATTGTTTAACTTTACTAATTGATTCTATGCATTGTTATTAAATTAGATAATGGGAAGAAAGGCTAATCCTAATGCTTCGTATCTAGATATTGAGAAGGCGTTTTATAAGAAGGGTAAAATTGTGGAAGTGGAGGAAGTTCCATTTGAAGGGTCTAAGGGAGGGAAATTATCAGGTAAACTGGATGGCTTGAATTTGGCGCGTCCAGTTCCGGTCAAGGGAGTAAAATTTAAAGCTGATGATAACAAACCTGTAGTGGAGATTAAGAAACCTGTCCGAACTGATAAGATGGTGGGGGATGTTAGGAAAACTAGTGTTCCCAATGTTATTCTCAGAAAGCCAACTGTGTATAAAGAGGATGATGATGAGGACAAGTCCTCGAGGTTGAGGATAAGGCCAAATTTGTCGCTGAAAATGCGGGATGAGCAAGTGAAGGATAAGTTTAGTGACATGACGCTGTTGAGGAAGCCTGAACCACCTGTTGCCAAGAATGCTGATACGGTTGAAGAGCCTAAAACTTGTTTGGATGACCAAGGGGACAATGATGGTGAGTTGAAGGTGTGGAATGAAGAGCTGATTGATGAAATTGGTAACTTGACCTTGTTGGAACGGCCGCACAAATCAAGTGGCATAAAAGAAGAAGAGCAGTTTGGAGAAATGAATGTCACCGTCCCAAGTGATGTAGGTGCTAATCTTTGTTGCTACTTGCAATATGGAATATAGTAATGTAAAGGTTAGTTTTTGAATTATTTCATGCTTGATTAATTAGAGATTGAAGCAACGTGAGCAGAGTCAACCGGAGTTCCATCAGGTGCCAGCTGATTTATGTCAATCATCAGATTTAAAGTCCGTTGATTCTAGAGTGGAATTGTCTGTGGAAGCTGCACTACATGCAAAGCCAAAAAGGTATCTGAAAATAGTTTTATGGATTAGTTTAGTGTTGCAATTGTGGTTTTAGTTCGTTACTTAAATGTATTTTTGTTATAGATTAGATCAATATGAGAAACAAACCTCAAAATTTGTTGGAGAAGAGGATGCTTCCCATACTCCTGAAGGTCACAGAAACAATGATGATTTAGGGAATGTTGTTGATGCATCAAACTTTCAGGTCAGATTATACAGATTACAAGTTATTTATCTATTTTCCCAACTTTATGTTAAACTTTGTGCTCTTTAATTATGTAGGAAAGTGAAGATGCTGACTGGACCAGGGCAGAGGACTTGATTAAGACTGGAGATAGGGAAGTTGTAGAATTAGTAAGCTGCAATATGAAAGGTTTCATGGTAAGTACTTAGCAAGCAGTATGAAGGACTTTCATTTGTAAATATAAAAAAACATATTCTTAGTCGTTGATGACTTTTTTTGTATATTTCTTCTGAACACAATTAAACCGTTTTGCAGGTTTCTTTTGGTTCCTTAGTAGGATTTCTGCCATACCGTAATCTTACTTCCAAGTGGAAGTTCTTAGCTTTTGAGTCTTGGTTAAAACATAAGGGTTTGGATCCCTCCATGTACAAGCAAAAATCAGGCACTATTACAAGTTATGATGGTGAAAATAAGAATTTTCCTCCTGAATCTCCTCCTTATCTGGAGCTTGATGGTAAAGTTGAAGATGAAATTTCAACAGATATAAAGTTGGAAGATCTGTTAAGGATTTATGACCAAGAGAAAACCAAGTTCTTATCATCATTTGTTGGGCAGGTTTGGTATTCACTACTCAAGTATATTCCTTAAATTTTACCATAACATGAAACCCAAATATTATTGATCTTAATTTTAGTATATCAATACTTTGTTTTTCAGAGAAATAAAGTAAATGTGTTAGTGGCAGACAGAAAAATGAGAAAGCTCATATTTTCTCTAAGACCAAAAGAGAAGGAAGAATTGGTTGAGAAGAAGAGAAATCTGATGGTAAATACTTCAGTAACAATAACATTTCTTTAATTAGCATGGAGCATGTATTGTTGATTAAATGCAACAAAGTGGTCTTCAGATTTGTTTTCTGTTTCTTATTGTAGGCTAGACTTCAAGTTGGGGACATAGTGAAATGCAGCATCCAGAAGATAGCTTACTTTGGGATTTTTGTTGAGGTATATAAAGCATTTCATTCAGTATTACAAACAAACTTAGCTTTACGTCATTTTATGCTAGTGATAGTGCCTCGTTAAGCCTATGCTTGTGACTCTGTATTTAGCTAAGCACCTGGATACCCTTTACCCTTTCACGGAATCAGAGTTGAGAGTGGTGGCAAAAAATTCTAAATATTGACATGTTATCAATGTAGGTCGAAGGAGTTTCTGCATTAATTCATCAGTCAGAATTATCATGGGATGCCACTTTGAACCCATTGTCATATTTTAAGATTGGTCAGGTACTTTCCTTCTTGACTCTGACAAACTAATAAAGTGGAGAATAATTTTCAGCAACTCAATAAATAATAATGACATGAACCCTGATCAATTTGTTTACTGTTTTTTTTTTTTTCCTATTATTTGTTTTGCTTCCATGTACATGACTTTTCCATCTATTTTCAATGCTTTGAACAAGGATGGTGTCATGAATCAACTATCTAAAGAGCTTAAATTGTTGGGTGAAAATATATGAATGATTTTATATCTAACAAACTCCCTCATGCAAGAACCCTATAGGCTCGAAGCATATTCATTGCACATGTGCACCTGACCTTTAGCTGAAATTAACTTTGATAGGCTAAGTTCTGCCCTGGATTAGGTATTTATTAGGCAGTTCTAATTCTGTAATAGGAATTTACAAAACAGTTTTTTTAATATTAATTCAGAATAGTCAATTTTGTGTTATAACTTATTTGTAATATGACAGTTCATATAGGTCTTGTGACAGACTTGTAGTTGTAGAAGGCAATTAAGGGGTTAGATTGTCTTTCCTTGCGTTTTGGAAGAAGGACAACTGCTTGTTAGGGGGAAACCCTGTGTTTGTACTTAAATTGGGCTTAACAACCACATTATTTCTAGCTTTATTCAAAATTCAAGGTGTTTATTTCTTGAGTCCAACAAACTTTAATTTGGAGAAAAAAGGGCAATAGGGATTGAACTCGTGATACATAGTTGTAGTTGTAGAGGTTCTAATACCATGTCATGAACCAACTATCTAAAAAGCTTTAGTTGTTGTATGAAAACACATAAGTGGTTTTATATCTGATAGATGGAACTAATTGAGTACCCATCATATTTGAATTTTTTTTTTGTACATAACTTCTTCATATTCATTTTTAATCTTACTTTTTGGTCCAGGTTGTAGAGGCAAAAGTTCACCAATTAAACTTTGCTCTTGAACGCATATTTCTATCATTGAAGGAGGTCATGGTAATTTATCTATTCCTATGATTAGGTTAGACTTATGGATATTATTTTACCAAAGTCTACTTAGATTAAACAATGATTATACACTTTGTGAGTTAACAAATCATTACCTTCTTATGGCAGCCTGATCCATTGATGAATTCCTTAGAATCTATAGTTGGGGATCATGGCCCCTTAGATGGGAGATTGCAGGCAGCTCCAACAGATGTAGAGGTAATCTTTATATGAGAAAGCAGAAGTCTCTTTAATTACTAAGAAAAATGATTGGAAAACAAGACCTTATATTGATTGAATAATTGCATTGCTTTTGGACTTTATTTTCTCTATAGATTAGCAGCCAACAACAGGCTTGGATTAATTTTATTTGCAGGCATTGATATAGTATAGTATATAAATCTCCTTATTGGTATTTACTTTATGGTATTTGTTTGTATTCTGGCCAGTATGTCCATACTTTATCTGGAAGGATGGAGCAAAGGTGGACACCAGCAAATTAGAAAAAAGATTATTGAATAACAAGCAGCCTGATTGAATATGGTTTTTTCTGCTGATGACGGTAGTAAATTTGTGGATCTTTATGTGGGAATAAGAATTGAATTCAAATTCTAACTAAAGGATGTGGTCTAGTAATAAAGTTGACTCCTTTGAGGTTGGGTGATAATATGGGTTTGATGCTTTGGCATTGCATAAACCTGGGGCAATGATACTCTCACCCCTTGCCTTTGCCCTTTGGTTAGGTGGTGTTGGACTAGGCTTGGAATCACTTAGAGGGATCCATGTAGGTCTTAGTCTTGGCCGATCAGGCAATATGAGAATATCTGTATGGACTACTGTTAGAGGTTCCCTGCTGATATGGGAGCTAGAAAATGCTTAGGGATTGCATCTGTAGGCTAGCTTCCCTACTGTACCTTTTTTCTGTATTCAAAAAGGAAAAGTTGTCTTATGACTTTAAAATTCAATCAATCAAGTAGACTGTAGTTTTGTTCTTGATTTCAGGGTGTAATAAGGTTTCAGAATGTAAATTGAAATACTGTGAGTTACGTTTTATAGCTTTTGTTTTCTACCTTATGATAAATTCATGGGCCCTTTGGTCTTGCCTGATTTTTATTCGTGTGCATAATATTTTCATTCCAATCAATCACTTCATTTATATGCTGTTTTATGATGTGGCAGAGAAAGAAATCTTCTTTCCATAAAATGAATCATCAATGTGGACATGATGTTTTATTTTATTGTCCAGTTGATTTTGTGGTTTGACATGACTAATCATTAAATTATGCTAATTTTCGTACAGTGGTCTGAAGTGGAATCCCTAGTCAAAGAATTACAAAAGATTGAGGGAGTCCAGTCTGTTTCAAAAGGTCGTTTTTTCAGAAGCCCTGGTTTAGCTCCAACCTTTCAGGTATTGATACATTCAACCTCTGCATAATTCAATGAATTTTATAATGTGGATTTGCACTTCATTATTTGCTTGAATGAGTATAACATGATTATTTTTTCTGAGAACTTGCCATCAAGTTCGCAATTTGCTTTATGGATTTTATATATTGTTTATGAAAAGCTGATCAAGGTTTAAATTAATCAACTGTCATGTTGAATCTTCTTCTGGCTCTCCTTTTTCATTTTTCTTTGATTATGTGGTTGCTTGTTCTTGTTCTGAGCACCCACTACTAGTTGACTAGACATTCCTGATTGGTTGTTGTTCTAGTATGGAACTTCTGGTTCATTTTTGTTTATCATTTATTTCCTGACACAGTTTAGTAATTGTTAGCAAACTCAAGTTCTTGATTTATCCGTTTGCAAACCAATTTTGTTCCAGGTTTATATGGCATCCATCTTTGAGAATCAGTACAAGTTACTTGCTCGATCTGGAGACAAAATACAAGAGGTAATGTCATAGGTTCTGTTTAAACTTCTTGGTCAACAGATTTTTGTTGTATCATTAAAATTCTCTACCCCTTTTGGACAGGGACACGTGATATTTTCTTTCAGCATATTTAATTTCCAAACTCCCTTGCTATTTGCTCATTTTTACCATTGTAACAAACTTGCAAGCAATTGTTTTTGTTTGTTCAAAAGAGTAAGCTTCTGTGTTATAGTTTACACAAACCATGGTTTGATTCATGAAAAAACCACCTTTTTTTTCCTCACTTCCACTCAAGCCATGGTCTGATAACCAAAATCATGTTAACATTTTAAATGCGACCGAACCAAAGGTTTGCTTATATGTATATGCTTTTTGAAGGTCATTTTTCTGTTTTCTCTATTTTCTTCTATAAATGCGGGTGCATTACTTATGGAGATAAGATATATTTATGCTTTTAATCTTAAACCCTAATCAATAAATCATCTTGCACAGGTGATAGTTCAAACTTCTTTAGATAAAGAAAGGATGAAATCAGCTGTTATGACATGTGCGAACCGGGTGGAATAGTTGTAGCCTGCTGTTGATTTTTGTGTGATTGTACAATCTTTTGGGATTGCAGCCTGCAATTAAGGAGCATTTCAAGTTAATTTATACAAGAGGTTTGGTGGAGTATCAGTATTTTCTTTCCTGTAAAAAGTGATAATAAAGGCATTTTTTTCTTGTGTTCTTTCCTTCTTTTTTTTTTTTTTTTTGGGGGGGGGGGGGGGGGGTGGGTTGTGTTACGTAAAAAGGACATGTGCTTAGTAAATAAAACATGTAGAAAAAACTTTAATCTTTGCTCTTGGGTCAATTGATGCCATTTCTGTAACTTTTTGTGCACCTCGACCACTTGAGAAATTGTTGATCTTCGTGATCTGTTAAAATGAGCTAATAATTTGAGAGGTCTTACAGTGTTGGGTCTGGTTATTCTCTAAAAATTGTTGGATTGGGCGACGAAGTGAAACATTCTATTTTGTTTTTTTTTTTTTTTTTTTTGTCAAAATTCTTTTCTGGTTTTATCATTGAGAAATTTCATAAAAGCTAGACAATTTGTGTTGTGGAAATTTATTCGGCCAGCGGTAAGATGTGGAGGTTGGATATACCCAATTAGTATTATTGTTGCAGAAAATACTACTCCTTTTTACGAGATGATTTTAATTAAAGTACACAGATCAACAAAAGAAATTAATTTTAGTTGATTTTTTAATATTATGATTTAATAATTTTATTGTCATTTAATATTATTAAAATTAATTTTATAGCAATATATTATATTTTATAGCAATAAAATAAATTAGAATGCATTTTATGAATGGGAGTAAAAGGAGCAACTATGAAAAGTTTATTTGAAAATACATTAGTTCTGTACGATGGAATCATTTGCCGTGGAAAAGGGTAAAAAATTAGCCTCACTTGTGTAAATTGTCAATTTCTCTTATTGGCTTTATTGACCTTGCTTCTACCCAAAGAAATGTGAAGGAAGAAATTGCACACTATAATTTTTTTTTATTCCAAAAATGGTTAAAATCTTTTGTTTTTATTTTTTGGTACACAAATTCTTTCTTGTGAAATTTATATTCTTTTTATTATTAATCGTGCTAACGGGCCAATGTATCCATATTTTTACTTGATTTTTAAGAATAGACAAAGGTAGGGTCGAAAGGCCACATTTTCGTAGCTTATTGACCAAGAAAGAAAAACAAATTCTCAACCTATTGACCACTTGACTACTGAACTTGACCATTACAACTTTTGAACTTCAGTTTCTTTCCTTATCTAACGATGATACTAATTCAGAAAACAAAAGGTAAAATATGTTTAACGAAATTTTTTATTATATTAAACTAGAGAATATTTAACACTCATTCTTTTATATATAAGTGAAAATATTTAACAAAATATATTAAATACTTTTTCTTCTTGTCTTTGTAATACTAATTAGCTCAGACGATTTTTATCGTGATTTTTTTTTCTTTCAAAAATCAGAATCTTCCATGAAGCAGTCATATACTCTCTCTCTCTCTCTCTAAAGTTAATTATATTTAATATTTTTTTACTTTTTGTTTTTTAATTAGTATACTTAAGCATGGATAAACATTTGTCTTAAAAGAACAAATTAGCTAATGTTTGCACAATTCATTTTGTATTGGTTTAAACAACAATTATTTTGAACAGCATTCGTTAACGTTGTACTAGAAGTGTGTGACCACAAGTCAGAACCATGTTTGAATTCTCCATTAGTAAATACTTTTTTTTTTCTAAAAAGAAAAGACAGCTTGCTTGTTTGCGACTTGGGGTTACTGTTACGTTCAGATGTGCAATCCATAATAGCATTGGGTGTCGTGTCGTAGGATGTTGGATTTCTTGGCGTACACAGTGCAGCGCATCTTCATCACGCATGATGCAGTTGCATGCTCTTCCATCATTCCATTTCTCTCCCTTGTTTTTTATTTTCAATAATTGTCTCTTTTTCCTAAACTGATAGAAGCAAAAAGAAAATCTTTTTGAATAGCATAAACATTTAAAGTTAAACCCAGAATTTTCAGACGGTTCCCTCTGCGGAAAATGGGAATGGGAACTAGCACCTTTGTTACTAGATGGATCAACTTTCTCACAATGGTAATGCTGTTTGCTTTCTACTCTCATTTTTCTTTTTCAAATTTCAATTTTGAGTTGCATTTCTCTGAAGCTTGATACGCTTTCATGTTCAAATATTTTTTTGATTTCAATAACCGGGTTTAAATGACCGTTTCATGTGGAAATCTCAAAACCAATAAATAGAAACTGGTTTGTGGGTTGTTCTATTTTCCTCTTACATTCACTTCATCCACTATCTTTTAGTGGGGGCACATATTCTCTTTTGCTTGTTCAGATTTTTTGGGGAATAAAACGGTGTTCACATGCTTTTTGCTGTTGTTCTTGCATAAACCGTTTTAGTTTACACTTGAACTTGTTCAAAGCTACGGTTTTTAGCAGCTAACTTTACTTATAGTTATCACTTCCTTTCTCTGTAGTTTATTGAGTGCTAAAAAAAAGAGAAGCTAAGAATCCGGATTCAAGTGTTTTTTAGAAAAATGTTAGGGTTGAGGTTAAGCAATTAATCATAATAAGATTTTAATGGAAAAAAAATTGTATTATTACACTTTTGTTGATGCTGCTTTATATTTATCCTACTTGTGCAGGTTTTAGCCATTGCTGTCATAATATTTGGGGTGTGGATGAGCACTCATCATGATAACTGCCGAAAGTCTCTCACTTTGCCTGTGATAAGCCTCGGAGCAGTTATTTTCTTGATGTCAGCATTGCATTCTTTATGATTTTGGTGGCTCTTTTATTTTTAATTTTTTTCCTATTTTCTGCTTGTGCTTTGTCTTCTATCAAGTTTCTGTGCTGTACAGATCCGTAGTTGGTTTTTTGGGTGCCCTGAAAAGAAGCTCCATACTCTTATGGATTGTATCCTTATTCCCTATACATTATGTTAAAGATGGTTGCGTTGGAGACATATTATACCCCCAAACCCTAATAATAAAGAAGAGAGAAGAAAAATTTGGATTTTAGGTATCATCCTTGACATTGCACTTGCAGTATCTGATCATGCTGTTCTTCGTGTTGGTGGGAATTCTGGTCTTCACAGTGTTGGTGTAAGTATGCAAATCCATTCACATGATCATGTTTTGCAATTAAAAACAGTCTCTCCCATTTTTAGAGTCTTATATGGCTGTGTTATAAAAAGAAGTCTATGGGAGTCTGACCTCAGCATTTGCAGCAGCCTGACGTGTTTGCATGGCTTATGGCTGTTCTGCAACATTAAATGTCATGCCTTAACACATTTTTATTTTATCCTTTCTTTGCTGTTGATCTGTTCATAATTTAATCCATTTCGGTTTATATGGCTGCTCTGTTTATTAAATTTTCTATGTCGCTGGTTCATGGTCACATGCAAAATGGGTTTTTTTATTGTTCAGCAACAGATGGTTTCTATTTTAGAATTAATTAGATATCACCTCAGTATCATCTGCAATTATTATAGAAACTAATGCAAACATGTAAAGCTGAGAGTCTGAGACAGTTGCCTATGTGTATTCTGATTTAAAATGAATAAATTGAATGAATTTATGACTGAAATGCATGGAACATGTTCTAACAACGTGACAAAAGTTAAAAAAAAAACTGAGTTTTAAAGAAGGATATCTTCCTTGATTTGTTCCTCTCAGCAGCGTAAGTCACATTTCAAAACTAAGCATCGATCTTTTGCATGCTTTACTGCCACAGTGCCACCTTGTGTTTGGTTGTTAATGAGATAGCATCACTTGTTATAAAAAAATTTAAAATTCCAAATACCTTTGATGCAAGGGGAAATGTGCCCATAACTTGAAGCCATATATTATTATGTGTTGGATTGTGGAGGAACAGTAATGAACATGAAAATGAATGCATGTTAATTGTTATGTCTTCTTCAGGGTATGTTAAACAACTGAATGAATTGAATGTATATTTTAATATCTATGTGAGCATGTTAAAAGAGAGGTGAAGTTATGTTTTCAATTAATTGCTATTGTTATGATTACTCAATCTATAATGACTTCTGAGTTTGGGTCTTCATTTTGATCTTAAATAATCTTCTGCCATTGTGTCAGGTTCATCGTGACTAATAATGGATCAGGTCATAGCGTGAGTGGCTTGAGGTAAGGAGTCAAGTGTTTCATTTATGTAGACGTTACTATGGTCCTTCATACTTGAAGTGGTGATAATTCATGATACATATAGTGGATCACACTGCATATGAGTAAATGTCTGGTTAATGCTTTTTTCTTATTTTAATTCTTGACAACATGGTGTGATCTGATGTATGACATTCTTCTTGTTTGCTTAGGTATAAGGAGTATCAACTCCAAGACTTTAGTTCTTGGTTTCTCAAAGAGGTAGGACTCTATCAACATAGAGAACTGATGTGCACAAATAAAACCTCTTCTCATCATCCTTATGCTTGAAAATTTTCTTTTTGTTTCAGTTGAACAATTCTCATAACTGGGAGCGATTGAAGGTTTGTCTTGTCAAGTCTGAGGATTGCAATAACCTATCCAAAAAATATAAGGTGTGTGGCCTATACTATTCCACTGAATAGAATTATCTGTTATCTTCTACGCAAAAAGCTGTGATCTATCCCTTTCCAATGTTCTTGATCTGCAGACTCTTAAACAATATAAATTGGCTAAATTGTCGCCAATTGAGGCTGGTTGCTGCCGACCACCTTCACAGTAGGTTTTGTTCTCTTGTTCGCCCTCCTTTCCTCTCAAATTTCTTGTTTGTAACTGCCACCCAAGTGCATTTCAATAGAGTATAGTTTATTTTTCGCATATATGAAAATCAGGGCACATCTCTGATATTCTTATAAGCTGGAATTTTATGTAACTTAGATGTGGATATCCTGCTGTAAATGCATCCTACTATGACTTGACCTTTCATCCAGTTAGTGCAAACAATGACTGCAAGCTGTACAAAAATTCCCGGGCCATCAAATGCTATGATTGTGATTCTTGCAAGTAAGCATGTCCATGATCCATTTCTGGTTTGAGGAATGCTAGCAACATACTCTACTATTGACTAAAATTTATTAAAAACTATAAAAATTATGAGTTTTACTCTTTCTTACTGTTAAATTAATGTTTCTCTCTTATAATTTTGTAATTTTTAATAAATTTTAGCAAATATTGGATTGCGTGTTGCTAGCATTTTTTCTTTCTGGTTTTCTTTAGATTTGTAAAATTTGTCTCTCTGTTTCCTCAACCTTGGTTCCAGGGCCGGCGTGGCACAATACATGAAAACTGAGTGGAGAGTAGTTGCAATATTCAATGTTGTTTTATTTGTTGTCTTGGTAAGGCATTCCTGCTTTATTTGAACTTACAACAAAGAATCTTCAATCCATCCACATGTCCATAAGCTATGCTTTTCAATAAATAATTGAATTTTTAATAGCACAAAGATACAATCTTCATTATATACTCTCCAGCTTTGCATTTTCTGGTGCCTTAATTCTATTTACCTTTGTTGTCTTAAATGCTAGTGTATTATATACTTTGTTGGATGCTGTGCAAGACGAAATGCTGCCAGGAGCCATTCCAAGGGTTGAAGCGAACCTGTGTTTATCCATTAACTGCTTTTGGAATTTGTTGGAGAGGAAAGAGAGAGATCAGTATCTTGTGGCTAGACACAAACTCGCCAAAATTACATGTTATTTTTTTTGGACCTTGATGATGAATTTTGTAATCTTTGTAAGATTATTATTTGATTTGATGTGCATAGAAAATTCAAGATGAGCAAAGTTAAAAGTGTTATGATGACGTGAAAATGCTTAATAGATCCTTGATTTACGAAGTACATCTAACTGAGTTTTACCGAAGCAAAACAATAAATAAATGATTCAATTCTAAGCAACGGAAAAACACGAGTTCTTCGTAAAATCAGGAAGATTTAGCAGAGGTTTTTTTAGATTAAATGTAAAATTATTTTTTTTAATAATTTTATTTGACCATCTGTAATATATTAATAAATTTGTTTACTTTTTTTATTTGATTTAATGTGAGAATTTTAATTAAGTGATATCGGGTCATTAAACACTAAAATTTGATGAGACGAGCTAAGAATTTTTTTTTCAAAATAATTGTTTACTATTTTTTCTAGTATAAATTTTAGATAAAAAGATATTTTTATATTTAAAGTTGGATAATAATTCAGCAGACCTATCTCTTTATAAAAATAGATCTTCCACAATCAATCTTCATTATTTACTTTATTTTTTTAAAATTAAACAAAATGTATTTTTTTTATAATTTTTTTTCTTTTATTTTATATAATTCATTTACATATTTTTTGCTATATTTCTTTCTCCATAACCTATAAAAAAAAAAAATTAATTTTCAATTTCAACAACTTCAATTTAAAGGATGTCTTTAGTGAGTAAAAAAAAACTAAAAAAATAAAAATAAATTTTAACTATGTAATTATACTTAATTAATAACTTTGGTCCTCAATCTGACTGTGTTGAAGCATAAACCCTGAACCTTGCTTCTTTCTTCTAAACCCCTTACTCGGTCCATCGGAAAAAGAAGATGTGGGGTCGGATCGTATGCGAAGGGCGGAGGGTACTTCCCTGCAACCTGCGACTGGTACGAAACATGGGTGGCGGTCCTCGCACGTTTCCCGGCGGCGTCAACAAATGGAAATGGAAACGCATGCACGAGAAACGAGCGAAAGACAAACAAAACCGACTTCTGGAGCAAGAAAAACAACTCTACGAAGCTCGCATTCGTTCTCACATTCGCTCCACCCTCTCCCCTGACCACCGCTCCGCCGCCGCGGCCACCCACCAACCTCTCTCCCCCCACCACCACGTCAAAGCCCTCGCCGATCGATTCATCAAAGAAGGTGCCGAAGATCTCTGGAACACTCACGATGGTCCCCTAACACCCCCACCAACAGTATCAACAACACCTTCGCCGCTCGATTTGGGGAAACTTGTACCGCAACTTCAGAAACGGAGTTTTGTCACTGTTAGGGGTTACCGTTCTGTTGCTGGGGTTGGGAATAATCGTGTTGGCACCGAAAAGCGAAGGTTTTGGAGGAATGATAGTGATGGGTCTTCTAGTGAGAGTGAGAATGAGGGTGAAATTGTAAGTGAGAATTGGGGTTTGAAGATGGGTAGTAGAGCTTCTTTGGGGAAATATGATGTGAAGAGAGAGAGAAGGGTGGTTCCCAATTCGCATGAAGAGGAAAGACAGTTATCGGAGCAGGTTGAGTTGATCAAGTATGAACTTAATAAGAGGAAGTTGAGCCAGAATGAGGAGCAAGAGGATGAGGAACAACAAAGCGTTTTAAGTCAGACTAGGTATTCATTTGCTGCCCTCATGGTTTTTCCTTTTTTTAATGCTTGCGAAGTTGCAATGGGAAATGTTTTATTTTTAGTATTGATTGATGGTTTGATTAGGTTTCACTTACAGGATGTGGAGTGATGGTGATGATAAGGGTGTAGATAGGTGGATATGTATGCTTGGTAATTTTGTGGAGCAGTTGTGTTGCAAGTGGTAATTTGGGTGTTTTGTTTTTGTAGATTTGACGAGTGTGGTATATCGCCTTTGACGGTTAAGGCGCTTTCATCTGCTGGTTATATTCATATGACCCGGGTACAAGAGGCTAGCCTCCCTATTTGCCTTGAGGGTATGTTGTCTTTTTCCTTCAGATCAGATTTTTGCAACTCGGGTTGCTAATTATTGTTGTGATTATCACTTGTAACTCTTCAAAAGATGTGGTTTTATTTATTTTGTTTTTCTTCTCTTGTAAGGACTTATTCACAAGCTCACTCAAACTCAAATTGGGTTTTTATCTCAATCTGTTCCCTGTTTGGGTCCAGTTTGAGTCTTTTAGTTACTGTTTTGCTAGTTATTACATTTCTGCTATTCGTCTAACATGACTATTAGATTTGATTTGATGATATTTTTAGTTCTGTTGCATTTCAGGTATGGATGCTTTAGTCAAAGCTAAAACTGGCACTGGAAAAAGTGCAGCTTTCTTGGTACACCCTGGTTCTTTTTCTACTCTTTTTACACACACTGCATCCTTCTTTGATTTTTATTCCCCTCCATATCAATGATGTTGAGTGCAAACAGCTTCCTGCTATTGAAACAGTTCTAAAAGCTATAAGTAGCAGTACCTCTCGACGTGTGCCTCCAAATCCAATACTTGTTCTTATTCTTTGCCCTACCAGAGAACTTGCTAGTCAAATTGCAGCTGAAGCAAAGGTTTTGATGAAATATCACGATGGCATTGGGGTACAGACTCTTGTTGGAGGTGTACGATTTAAAGTTGACCAAAAACGCCTTGAATCAGATCCATGCCAGGTTTTTTGTTATGGAAAATTATAGTTTCCTACTGCATGGCTTTGGGCCAATTGTAAAGCTTGTTTTCGGTGGGGATGGAGAGGGGAGTGGGGGAGAGAGAAAAACAGAAGAAAATTAGAGATTTTGCATGCTTAATAAAATCATTACTAGAACCATAATGATTTTTTTTTATTTCTTTTATCAAATTTTGCAGATACTTGTTGCTACACCTGGTAGGTTGCTGGATCATATTGAGAATAAGTCTGGAATATCTGTGCGACTAATGGGATTGCAGATGCTTGTACTTGATGAAGCTGATCATTTACTGGACCTGGGATTTCGAAAGGATGTAGAAAAAATTGTTGATTGTTTGCCTCGTCAAAGGCAATCGTTGTTGTTTTCTGCAACCATACCAAAGGAGGTTAGATTAGGTTTTTTAATTTGTATAATTAATTTCTGACCTCAGGATCTTATAAGCAGGTATATGGTGCTGCAGTATTCCAACAACAATGTAACTGATGCTTAAAAAGATATACAGGTCCGCCGTATATCTCAGCTTGTTTTGAAAAGGGAACACAAATATGTTGATACAGTTGGAATTGGCTCTGTGGAAACTCCGGTTCAGGCAAGTTACAATAACTATTGAGATATTCTGAAAATTGCAAAAATAAAATGAATGGTAGATTGATTCTAGAATCTAGACAGTTATTAGCCTATACTTTTTTTTTTCTCATAATAGTATTTTCTTAAAAAAAATTGATCGTGTTAAAAATTTCCTGTCATAGGCATTAATGCTTATTCTGGTTTGGTATCACAGGTAAAGCAATCTTATCTTATTGCTCCTCACGAGTCACATTTTCAATTTGTGTACCATTTTCTGAAGGAGCATATCTTGCAAGCACCTGAATACAAGGTTAATGCATTTGCCATTTGAGAGTTTGAATTGCTTTGTTATATAATTTATGATTTTGACCAATAGATTTGCATTCAGGTTATTGTTTTCTGTGTAACTGGGATGGTGACATCACTCATGTATCACCTTCTTCGGGAAATGAAAATGAATGTCAGGGAGATACATTCTCGAAAACCTCAGCTTTATCGAGCACGCGTATCAGAGGAGTTCAGGAAATCCAAACAATTGATTCTTGTTTCATCTGATGTTTCATCACGTGGAATGAACTATCCTGATGTTACTTTAGTCATACAGGTGTGCTTTCATCTTTTAATGTTTTTCTGCTCATGTTTTTCTGTACTTACGTGTTTCTTGAATTCTTTTTGTTATTTTTCTTTAATTTTTTATGGTGAATTAACTACTGAAACAAAGTTCCTTATGTGAGACTGGGAATTATTTCTTGAAATTACATGACATCCAAGAGGACATAGTGTGGATTTCATATTTCATTAATAGCATATAGTATGAAACCCAGGTGGGAATTCCTTTCGACCGAGAACAATACATACATCGTCTTGGAAGAACGGGACGGGAAGGCAAAGAAGGGGAAGGCATATTGTTGATTGCTCCATGGGAAGAGTATTTTTTAGAGGAAATCAAGGATCTTCCTCTACAGAAATTCCCCTTACCAGATATAGATCCACAGACGAAGCTTAAGGTGCTTTTTTTTCTTTTGTTCTAATGTCTACACTATTTTGAGTTATACCCATTGTACATAGATATTTTGATCCTCATAATTCACATCATCTTTTTGCTATCTATTATATATTATACATAGTTACGTACAGTTGTTGTCCATGATACTTGTAGATTGAGAATTCAATGGCTAAGATTGATAATGACATCAAAGAAGCAGCATATCATGCTTGGCTTGGTTATTATAACTCCATCAGGGAAATTGGGAGGGAGAAGACCACTATAGCTGAGCTAGCAAACCGATTTTCTGAATCAATTGGTTTACAAAGGCCTCCTGCTCTCTTTCGAAAAACTGCAATAAAAATGGGTTTGAAAGACATTCCTGGCATTAGAATTCGTAGATAGTAGCATGCATGGACAAGATGCTGAATTTTGATTATTTATGACAATAGATTGTGGGATTCTTCATATCATGATTGTTCAATTGTTAGTACTGAAATCTTGTATTTAATTGTAGTGAATATCTTGTAACACCGAGGAACCATACCATAATCGTCATCAATTGATGATTGACTTGGTTTAAAAGAAGAAAACATTTATGTTTATTCAAATTTTAAATGGTATCTCAACTCTTAAGACCTATTTGAAAATCACAATTTTTAACTATAGGCTAGACTAGAGCCATCTTGGCAAAATTAAGAACTGTAAATAACGGTTTCTCCGAACTCGAAATCGGACGCCCTTTCTCAAAGTGCTATTTGATGCACAATTATGGACAAGAATGAATTGTCTTGTATTAAAATTCCTTTTTGACATTTTAGAGCGTTAAATACGTATAACAATTTCATTTTGGAGGAACCTCGCTTAAAACATTATCGCTTTAAAGGATTTTGAGCGTGCTCTCCATTTCTTAAAGGAAACAGATAAAATCTTGTCTATTAAAAATTCTGAAAGTATTGAGTTTTAAAAGATAATTTTCATTGTAATAATTTTAATAGTTGGATAAGGAAATAGGCAAAAAAAATTGAAGAAATGAAAATTTGAACTCCTATTTTATTGGTTAGAAGTGTCTAATGTGCATCTAAAATATAGAAGCTACATTTTGTAATGTTGAGTTGACGTGGTTTATCCAATTTGAACCTAAATCTGAAGACGTTATAAGCCATGTCTCGAAAGGTTAACTAGTTGTCCAAACGATACAAATTTTTTTTTTTTTTCTGCTCTTGTTATGACAGTAAGTTGACATGGAGGGTTGATATGCATAATAGCAAGTGGCTAGTAGGCAAAGAGGATGAGCAGAGTTGTCTCACAAATCTGAAAATCTTGATAATATTGTGCTAACCATTTAATATAAACTAAGACACCTTTTTTTTTTACCTTGTTCTAGCTGCAGCTAGGTTCTAATGTTGCAAAAAAAAATAATACTTTTTTTTGTTAACAAAATTTTAGATTGTCTCAATGAAAGGTAGAAAAGTTTTATAGGTTTAAAGAATACTTGTAAAAGATTTATATTTAACTTATCCTAAGATGACATATATTTAAACGTGACTTATTTCATATAATATCTTCGTTTTACAACTATTATCTTATAAAAAGGACTATTACAAGAGTTTCATACTCTGTTGTCTACATCAGCAACATAGTACCATCATATTGTTTCACACGAAAACACCTTGACCAGACGCGGCCATATTAACCGATCTTGGGTCCACCGTGTTAATCAGGAGTCAAATTGGTATCCCAACAGGATGCAACAAGTGACATATAACAGTATAATCACAATGAAACTCAACATGCAAGGCTGCAAGAATTAAAATAGCCTTGGATGTGATCATGGTGACCGAGGGAAAGACTAACTAATTAACAAAAATAAAATGGTCTCTTGAGCATTTAAGTCGTTCAAACCACGCAATCTAGACAAAATAATCAAACTGACTATTTAACACGAATCTGACGTAAGTGGCTACCAGCATTTCACTTAACCAAGAAAATGAGCTCTTCACTTGTATCTATCAATTGAAGTTTGAAAAAGGAGAAAATTTTTGGGACGAATCTCTTGTTCTGTCCCATAAAACGTGCATTATTTAACTATGGCATTAAAAATGTAGTTCAAAAAAAAAAAAAACTCAAGTATTAGTACATATTTAAGGGTATAAAATAGGAGAGAAGCACCTAACAATTTGTTTTCTTTGGATTTTTTTTAATGTTTTTCAAAACTGCTACCAATCAATTTCAGATAAGAGATTAAACGTAATAATATTATCACTTGTATGTAGTTTTGGGTTCAGTCCTTTAATTGTATAGAAATAACAATGTTAAGGGTTAGTACCTTAATCGTCTAACTAAATCGGAAAAAAGTAGTCCATCCCCTACCAAGTTAAAAAAAATAGAATAATTGAAAAAAGGATACGTGCTTAAACTTACAAGACATAGCACCATGACCATTTGAACATATTCTATACTCGTGGGTAACCACAGTTAGGGTTGATTCTAAGTAGTCGGTGCAGGCTTCTACACTCGTCAAAGAAATAGATGGTTGAGAATGACCCTTATTTTATTTATTTATTTATTTTATTATTTAATGCCAATTGAAACTTCAGCCCCAATAAGTCCAGTCAATTAGACAGGTGCCAAACCGGGCCCCCATTCATGTGGTTCCAACTACAATCTTATGTGCAAAACAGTTATAATGTTGCTAGCATTAACATATGACACTGCCCATTTAACGACACGATGATCATAAACTTTACAAGTACATGGTGCTCTCAAGAATGGCCACTGGCAACACCAGATGTGGATAAAAAAATTTGAGATAATGAATTTAAAAATCCCTTCTCTTCGATTCCTTATCTGGGACCCCATTCTTCATTCAACAATTCATAATTCAACAAACTAATTTGGCATCTATACTACACGATAATTTTGGCATTGACCGAATGAGATAGCTAAAGAAACCAATCAAAGGCGCCACAAATTGGCAATATTTCAATACCGTGTCTGATTATCTTTAATAATAGATTAGAGGCCAGGGCAAATGAGGAAAGGAAAGACAACACCTGAATCAGAAAATAGGCACCAGCACTACTTGACACTCAGATCCAGGGACACTGTAAGCACACACAAGTCTTTGCAATTATTATCACAAAATTATATTATCAAACCTCTAAGTGAGAGTCATAAAAGACCCAATTGATAGAAAAGTCAACGGCCTCATCCTCTTCTAAGCAGTATTTTAAGTTGACACTCCACCAGAGCTGAAAGGACGAGAACTCTTGTTTCCTTGGACAAAATTATCTAAAAGCTCAGGGTTCATCAGAGGCTGAAGTTTAATGCAGCAGTATCTAATTGTATCCTCCCAGCTATTCTCAAAGCTATATGAATCATCAGAGTGAAATTCCAACAAGACGAACTGAATCAAAATATCTTCATCCTTACAACAACTGTGCCAAAACAAGCACAACTGCTTAATCCTCAATCTGTTTTGTCAACTAGTTCAGACAGTGGTCTGACAGAAAATCCATTTATGATCAATGGGCAGTTTGGCCATTTCATTAAAACTAATTTAGTTTTGGCTTTATTTTCTGTACAGCTTCACTGACTTCATATAAAAGGACAATAAATCATCCAGCATAAGGGAACAAACTAAACTCAGCCCCTTCTGTTAACTACTGTGTTAGTTGTTACTTTAAGTCTCTCAATTCACAAGACTGCAGTGATGGCAGTTCAATATCCAAGGCTCTCACTACTGATCTTAATGATTATACTGATAATTAGCCAACTCTCAAATTGCTGTGAGGGCGGCAGGTGGATGAGTAAAGAAATCAAACAAACAGGAAAAAGCAGCTCTTTTCAGGAGTTCTCAAACTCATGGCATATCTATACAAGGACACAACAGGGACCCATCACACAGGAAGTCCACCCAAATTATGGAGTTTCTCTACGAGATGTTCCAGGGGGTCCAAACCCACTTCATAACTGATCAACTATCTAGCAATATGCTGCTTATCAAGTTATACAAGTTTTTGCAGGCTTCTAGTGTATAATATTAGTTTGCCTTAAAGATGTAATATAGATACAGTTTGGGAGAATTATCATCCTTGGTCTTCTAAAGATAAAAATTGTACTTGATTCAATGGAAAAATGATGAAATCTGCAGACATTTGCCCAACAAATCAAGTTTGTTTTTGAAAGTTGTCAGATGTGAATTATATTTGAAAGGTTACACCATGACCTGTGCAAATCCCTAGTTAGGTATCTGAATAATTTCTATGTTAGCTACCAGTTGAGAGCATCACCACAAGAGCCTTCACTGCCTTCGATTTCGTCATCTGCTAATCTATTCCCTTAGTGTCACAATACTACTCCACATTGAATAGTCACCAATAGGCCTCTTTTCCATCAAATATTGAATCTTCTTCAAAAACTTGATACCCATAGCTCCAAAATCAGAGCTTTAATACCAATTGATAAGAACCTTAACAGAACCCTACCACAAAAGCTACTTGTTGTAATTAGAGAGCCCAAGGTTTTATAAACCATAACATCTTTGTTCAACTGATACTCAATTCAAATGGTAAGACTCTGTTTTAAACAGCTTCAAGATAGATGATACTCTGGTGGAAATGCAAACAATGAAGGTAAAGAGTGGACATACATGCATGGTGACTCAACCTTTGTTAATGATATGAGCATGCAAAAAAGCAAGACCAAGAAGTTAGTGGCATATTGTTATAGATGGATTGAAAAATAAAAGGAACATTCAGTGGGGATTGCTGGAGAAAAATAATGCATCCCTAAATATATGTTAAGCTCTAGAGCACCCAGTCCAACCCCTCCCCCCACTAGGATTTTCATTCCTCTTGTCAAGTGGTCAAATTGATATCTATTAGTTAACGTATACCCATAAAATTTATTTTATGCAATTATACAACTTTAACAAAAAAAAAAAAAAAAAAAACTAGTATCTTGTGCGAATAATTTTGACATTAACATGGCAACATTTAACTGAAGCAACATACAAATAGCAGGTCCAGGCACATATTGAAACATATACAATGATACATGTACATAATAAGCAACAAAAACTTTACTGAGGCAATTAAGTTTCAGAATGTTGCAAAAAGAAGTGGACAGTGGACTCCTATTCTATATTCATAACTCATAGCAAAAGAACATGTAAGTGAAAATAAAAAAGCAGGAAATAACCTCCATCCTTGTTTCTAGAAAGAAGAGGAAATCAAGCCGCATATCTTGTTAAACACCTGCAAGCATTTGGCATAAAATATGAGAAATATGTATCTCACTTACACATATGCCTAGTAATTAAATAGTACAAGCTTACCATAAGTCACACTCACTACATAATTTCAGTTCCCACTGGATCCACAGAGAAATGAAGAGACAACGATTTGTGGACAATAGGCTGGAACTTAGACAGCCATACCTATTTTTCAAATCCAAAGATAATTTAGATTCTTGATGTGCTTGTTCTCCTCAAAATATGGTTACAAACAGATGTAATTGTTCAGTTTTGTAAAATATGTTTATATATATATATGAAATTATATATCATTTTGCTCATGAGAAGTTCATCTTAGTAAGTTAATATAATCAAAATGGAAAATCTCTAAGTAAAAATGAGAGTGTCAACCAACAACTTATAATTTTGTCATTTACTAAGAGAAAATGGCAACATGAAGTGAAACAAATTTATGAATTATATTGTTTAAAAGGGAAATGTTTGGAAGAGTTTTCCATTTAAATTTGGCATAAGGTGAACACATTATCTATCACTAAGGTACACACTACTTTAGACCAAAAGCTGTATGACAAATAACAGCCCAAGTGTAGAATCCAAATGTGTAAGAAACAATAAATCAGGTTTCTTACATCTTTGTACTCTTTGCTGTTTATAAATATCTCAAATGCCTCAACTGCAAAAAATGCCATCATGCACCAGTACCAGTCAACATGACCAAGGTGAAAGAAAATCAGATGTTACAGACCATGAGATTGAGATCACCTGATCGAAATCGTATCACAACTCCATGAGTATACGCCTTAGAGCTTGGACTAAAATTCAAACCTGGCAATAAAAGATACGATAACCCATTTATAAAATCAAAACTTGGAGAAAAAGAATATAGTTCATTTTACCTGTTAGGATGTCCTATATTAGCTAGGAATAGAGACAAAATACTCTGTATAAAGAATTGGGTAGTCCTCCTCTTATAAACTAACTTATGAAAGTGAGATATAAAGTCAAAAAACTCCTTGTAAAGGCTTGAGTAATAATTCTCTTAGTATGAGATAGCTTTTGGGTGTGAAGCACGAGGCTCCTACCCAGTCGTGTCAAATGGAGAGGCTGTTTTAAGGATTTAATCCTGTGGCCTCTTGGTCACAAAGTGGCAAGGCAACCTTACTATATACTAAGACTCACCTTCATTCTTCGTACTATTCTTTTGGGAAAACAAAAATTTGATAAGTCAATGAACCAAATTAAAAGGTTAAGTTAAATGACAAGGCAACAATTGAATAAGTAATGGTGGAACTAGAAACATACCTTGAGTAAATTGGACTATCAAGGATGGAGATTCCAACATCACCGATGTTAGAGAGGCCAATGCATGTTCTGATAGGTTACCCAATGCATCCTCATTAAATGATATCAGAAGCACAAACTCCACCCCATGGTTAAACTCCTGGCCACAATTTAATTAAAGCACCCGAAAGAATTATTGTTAGAATCAGAAACAGAACACACCACAAAGAGAATAGGTCAATGAATCTAAAATCCGTTTCCATTCACAATTTGCAATGGAGGTGTGACCCCCAGGTTAGGGTCAAATATGAAATGGGACATCAATTTTTAATGAAAAGCCCCCTGATTCGTAGACCCGGAAGAGTAAAGTACGTTAGTTCCAACCTCTCCTTTGCGAAATATAGAAAGCATTTCATCTTCCACTTCTGATTCGTAATCCACATTAATCAATCCCTGACACAGCAATCAGTTGAGCACCAAGTTAAAATGTTCAGAGAGAGGTTTACTTGACAGTAATAAAAAAAAAATAAAAAAAAACAGAGAATCGGTGTTTACATGTTGGTGCATACATGGCAGTAAGTCATTATATGGTCCTTGAGAACCTTCAAGTAAAAGGGATTCCCGTAAAACTTTTCAAGATTTTCCTTCTTCTGAAACCGCATAAATAGAGCATGTGTATAGTACTCAGGATTTGGAGCAGAAACGCGCCCTACAGGATCAACAAGGTCATCAGTATATGAAAGCCTAGCACTATATTAAGCACATGAAGAAGGAATTAAAGCAACGGTAGGTACACTAACTAGGATATAGCTGAAAGCTATGTAATACAGGGAATGTATCATGATTCATGAATGTGGTTATTAGCAATGAACCCACCCAATGAAATTGCAACAATACCACCCATTTGGTACTGTGTTGTGTACAAATAATCGAGCATGTCGTTCTCTTCCTCTTCAGATAAATCCTGCTTTGCTTTCAGCAGACAAACGTGTTCCACAACTTTTCTACAACAAATTAAAACATTCATCATAATCGCAATCACAGGAAAAGGGGGAATTCTGAATCTGAAAATGTAATCGAGATTAATAAGAAATTAGCATCAACAACAATAAATGGCGAAGACCTTTTCCTCTCAGAACGGAGGTTGGAACTTGGGTCTTCCACACCACAGAGAATCATCATCCTCTGATTCTTTGGAGCACTCTTGAAACGGTTCGCAAGAAAAGAAATTCGAATTTGAAAAGCGTGAAAAGAAAGAGGGCTTTGGGTGAAACGATGAGGGACACAAATCGAAATAGAACAGCCATAGCTTGAGCATTGCATTTTTCTGCTGCTGTGTGTTTGGTATGGTTATGCTTCCCCGATATGAAATGATATGATAAAAGCGAGAGATATGATAATGAAGATGGTGTGAGTGAGTGTGAGTAAACTATATCACAAAACAACATTTTCGTACCATAAAAATGGGTGGACTAGGATTTAAATACACGCATCATTTGGCGCCTTACATTTTAAGTGAACTACCCTTTCTGTTCTAACTGGAGACTCGAGCCTCTAGGTATAATTTTCACACTCTTGTACTAATATTATTTCTTTACACGTATTTTATTTAATAATTTTCATTATTTTTATTTAAAACAGTATATTTAAAAAAAACAATTATACATATTCGATATCTTATTTTAAAATATAAATAAAATACTTACTGTAGAAATACTAGAAAAAATTTTCACACCTTCTTTTAAATGTACCATTTATTTATTTATTATTTACAATTGATTATTCAACTTAGTCGCACAACATTCAAATTTACATTTCTTTCTTTCTATGCGCAATAATTTTAATTTGATACACTTATTTACAAATGAACACCACTGTTTACATACAACTTCCTTGTCAAGCTTTCACCGATTCACCATCTTTTTTTAATAATTATTAAACAAATGGCTGGTTTGATATTTGTGCGCCACACACATGAACGTTCACCATCCATATTTCCTTTCCTTTTCTCTGACCTACCTTTTTCTCAAAAGAAAAAAATAAAGGTGTAGTGATTGATTTTGTGTCCCGCAAACATTAAAAAATTGTAAAAGCAGTGATAAGAATCCAAATCCGCTCCAATTTTAATCGTACAGTCTCATTCTATTTTTACTTAAAACAAAAATAATTTTTTTTAAAAAATCATAAGAAAAAGAGAACAAGAAGAGAGTTGAGGGAGAAGACTTAAGAAAGTTAAAAAAGAATAAGAGAAGAAAGAGAGAAGCCGAAAGAGGGAGGTGCAGGGCTCCAAAAAACAAAGAAAAGGGAAGGGCAAAAGACGCGTAGTTGTGAGAGAGGGAGAAGAGGCTAGTGAGGGGAAGGGGAGAAAAATGGGTGATTGCACAAGGGGGAAAGAAAAGGAGAAGAGAAAATTAAAATTGTTCATTTTTGTTTAAACAAAACAATTTTTCTTAAGGAAAAATAAAACTGGACCGTCTAATTCAGTTATAAAAATAGGACATTTATTGTCACTCAAGATTCTCAACACTTTATTAATCGCCGCTTGTCTACCTGTCAAATAAGTATATGAAGCCTTATAATAAACTTCTAAAAATAAACTGTCGTAAATTTTAAGATACCTTATAAAATAATTTTTAATTTATTTAAATATGTTTTATAATCAAAATTATATTATAAATCTTTACATAATAGAAGTTTACTAAATAAACAATTAAACATTCTGAACTGCATAGTTATAATATTGATCACTAAGCAAGGTCATAGTTAAGTTTCACAACTACGTCTCCATAAACGAAATTTAATCCCATTGTTATTGGCTTAAGTTGAATTCTGGGTACTTTTAACCAAGCCCACGCTTGAAACATTGGGCAGGTTACATTCTCAAAGTGAACAACGAGCTGGTTTGTTTCAATTAATGAATTGAAGGGAGGAAAAACAACTTTCGATCTAATAGATTTTGTATAAAAAGTTACAAGACTCGAAAATTAAACATTACATGGTTTAATATACAAGGATTCACAAATTATTTCGAGTTGCTATAGATCACAACAGTGCATTAGCTGCAGCCTTGATGTACAAATATTGAAAACAAGAGTACGGGAGAGCAACAAGAACCTCCTGAATGTTCCACTCTGATAATCTAGTTTAGGCTGGCTGACAAACTATCTATGTGAACTAATCCAACAGTTGTTGAGAGTAAATCAGGAATTGTTTAAGTTCTGAAAAAGCTCAGGAAGATGAGCATTGGTCAGCTTGGTTCTCTTGCTGATTTCACTCTTCTTCTTCTTAGGCTTGGGCTTGGAGGAAATGCCTTGAATTTGTGCTGCACTCCTCCTCTTAGCAGTGTTAGTCGCGGGCTTCATGCCATTCTTTTGAAGATCCTTCTCTATATCAATCATATCACGAGGCAATTCAATACTCCGAAAAAGCTGTTTTAGATCATCATCCACCTTAATGTGCACTTTGGGATCATTAGGGTAAGCAATGTCTTCCTGTGAATCAAAGTTGGAGAGCAGCCAAATCTGCCCTGCAGCTTTCAAAGCCTAGAACAAACCGATAGCTTTATAAGATTCTATTCCATGAGAAACCAATTATTAGCAAAAACATCACCTATCATTATGACATGTCATCTGATCAAAGACATTTTAGATCAACTTTGTCAACCAGTTGTATTCTTATTTACATGTTTCAATTCAATAAAAACAAACTAACTTACTCACTCTCCATCTACAACTCACCATCATGTAAACCTCAGTAAGGTAAGGAAAGAAGCAAAGAGAATGGTCTTTCAACAAAAAAAAGATAAAATAAATGCAGAGAAGTGAAAAGAGGGAAATTTTAATGGCCTTTGTCTACTAAGCGTGATCATCATATGATGCTCCTTCGGACTAAACTCCTACAGACAACATTTTGAAATTCTGCCAACGTTAACATATCACTAAATCCAATAACTAAGCAAACAGCAGCAAAAATTCAAGTTAGCACCTTAAACAGCAGGATTTTCCACTGACTAATTAAAAAACGTTTTTATTTCCTCAATACTAACCTTAATGCTACAATGGCCAATACTAGGAGAAAGTGGCAAAATTTATCTATAAAGCCCACTAACGTACGCTCATGTTTCTCCCAAAATACATTAAGCAGATAGGTCACGGGAGTCCAATCCGTGAGAAATAAGAGCAGACATGTATCTATATGAACAAAATGACAAAATGTCAAGAAATGTTCGTTCACCAGAAAGAGAACCATAATAAAAGTTGTTTTACCTGCAGGTCTTCCATCACAGTGGGGTAAGCATCCTTTAGGTCAATAACAGCAATGCCCTCCGGATACTTACGTATCAGTTGAAGAAGCTCAGTTCTGTCTTTAAGACCATACTTTGACTGTAGACCAAAAGCAAACAACAAATGAAGAAGTTATTTTCTAAAGAAACATTCGAAGATACAAATGTTCAAATATATGCACGAATAAAAATTACCTTATAAGAGAATCGTTGCCCATCATAGTGTACTTTAGGATTTTTCCTCAAATTATCAAAAACATCTTTGTTAGCCTTCATGTCAACATAGCACGCTTCATTTATCTGCTCTGGCGTTAAAGCTTGCCGTATCTGTCAGCAAACACACACACCAAATCAATATGGTTTCAACTCAACAATTTCTGATGGTGGACTTTCTTATGTAGGTCATCAGTTAATGATATCCCTCCTTGATGCTTTTGGCATGCCCTAATCTATGAACAAGACAACCCCCACCTAAACTTTTTCTACGTATAGTTGTAGGAGGACCAACACAAGATACGTCAAACATATCCGTCAACCTTAAGAAAGGTGTGTCAACAACTAATTCAGACTCATCTGCCATTAAATAACTTAAAGTTGGTCAAAACAAAAGCATAATTATATACATCTTGTAGGTTCTTCAACAAAATTATGCTACTCAGTGTTTTAGGAACACAAATTTAAATTCTGAAACTCAGTAGTACTAACAACCCAAAACATGCAAGTTCCGAGTAAAATTCCCTTTTTCTTAAGTCTTAACTCAAGCCCATATCACTAGTAACATAAAAGCTAACAATAAAACCACAAACCTTATGAAATAACCACTATATATTTGTGCATAAGGAATAGCAATTTGTATAGGTACCTCTAGAAGGAGATCAATAACACGCTTCATCTGAGCACCCACAGGGGCTTTGCGAATGCTGTTAATATGTTGAAGCCTCTCTGTGTCGTTAGAGAACTTGACTGCAGGGGCTGCGTTTCTTCCATTGACCGAAGCGATACCATGGGAAACAGCTTTTTGACTAGCGGCTTTGCTAGCTGCAATGCTCGAAAGTGTCGTTTGGCACTTCTCTTGCTGCTTCTTGAACTTCTGTAGCCTTTCTTGCAACGCCATCTGAAGATCCAAAAACGCACACAGTTTCAGAGTTCGAATTTGCACAAACAGTTCCAAGGATTAAAACCAAGTCGTGTATCAAGGAGTATGGCAAGTCAAAGTCAGAGAGACCGGAAATTGGGAATTTGACAAAACCCTAATATTTTGGAGAGTGATTGAATCCTGATTTTTTGAATGCACTTAGTTTGAAATCTTGCAAGGTTTTAAGGAAAGTAAAGGAAAAGTGAAAATATGAAGTGATGATATGCAACACGCAAACGTGTGTTGCAGAGGGCGAAGTGAGAGAGAGAGAGAGGCTAACCGTGGATGAAACGACGGACTTTGCTGCTCCTCCGTTATTGATTGGGGAATGGTTAGAACAAAGAAACTTCGGTTATTATAATTACAGATTGTGGGATTTAGCTCTTCTAGGGGTTAGGGATATTAAATATTATAATCTTAACGGTATTTTTAACGTGAATATAAGTAATCATTTAAAGGAGTTTAAAATATAACTTTTTTATAAACAAAATAAAGCATTTGTTATTAAAAAATATTTTTATGTTTATTTTTAAAAAATTTATCATTATAATTTTTAATATATATTCAATTATATTATATTAAATGTTTTTAATTATTATAAAAATTGTATAAAATATTTTTTAAGATTTTGATATAATAATATTCTTATTTTTCATAAAAAATATTTTTTATTTAGATACATATTAACAAAATTAATTATAAAATATTAATAAATTACATTTAATTTCTAATAATTATAACTATTTTATAAAATCGCGTGTTTTTAAGTATAAAAAGTATGTGGTAAAAAATATTTCGGTTGTTAACAATGAAAATTTTGTTTTATATTCAATAAAACATAACATATATATATATATATATATATATATATATATATATATATATATATATATATATATATAAAGAGAGAGAGAGAAGGTTTTAAAATTATTAAATAAAAATTAAAAGATTAATAGTTATAAAATTGATATATTATATAGATAATAATTGATATAGTATGTTAAAATTTAAATTTATAAATTGTGAAATTTATGGACATACAATACTTTAATATTCCCCTGGTAAGATTCGTTAACGTAAGATAATTTTATATGAAAAAATGACAACAAATTAAAATACATGATATAAAAAATCACGTAATTACTGAAACGCAGTGCATTGAAAAAATAACAAATGAATGCACTAAAGTATTATTCTATTAATGTACACATTTGTCTTCTAAGTGTAATATTAGTGTTTTCATTATAATTGACATAGGTTTTTTTTTTAATACTTTTTATGTTAAAAAACCTTATGCGTAATATATCTATACACAGAAAGAGAGTGACTTTATTAAGAATATTTCATTGGTAATTTATGTTTTTATTTTCTGTGTTTCGTTGACAGCATGTTTCAACTCTCTGCTCAAAATATTATAAATATCATAAAAAAAAATTTAGGTATATTCTTTTTAAAAATTACGTCTTTGTTTAAAATAGTATGACAGCTTTTCATTTACTTTTAAGATTTTCAGTGTATAGTGAAATACTTTAATAAGGAAATCAAATAATAAAAAATCAACAGACAGTTTAAAAAGTTGTAAATTTTGTTTAAAAAGTTAATTAAATTAACAGTCACATGCGTTGAAAAATGTCAATATATATATATATATATATATATATATATAATAATAATAATAATAATAATAATAATAATTTATTTATATTTATACTAAAATAAAGTAGGATAGCGAGATATTAAATTTTAAGTATAAAATGTTATCTGCATAATTCAATAGAAAATATTTAAAATGATAAAATTTAGTTTAAAAAACATTTAAAATGCTTTATTTAATTTGATAATCAATATTATTTAATCACATTCTTTATTGATTTATCATCCTTTAAAAATAAATAAATAAAATAAATTGTATTGCTATTTTGGAATAATTTAAGAGATGTTAGAAGGATAAAAGGAAAAGAGATCAACCTTTGTTTAAATATTTAATATTAAAAGGAGAAGATGATGTTTAATATTGAAAAGAAAAGTAATGAAAGTTTAATTATGTAAATGATATTATTAATTTTATATTTTTATTTTATTTATTATTATTTTATTTTTTAAAATACAAAAAAATAAATATTTTTCTCTTACTAAAAAATAATATTATTAAAATTAAAATTTTTGCTTTTTATAAATTTTTAAAAAATTTCAATTTAAAAACTAACATGTTTAAAAAAATTTAAATCCTAATATTTTTTAAAAATAAAAATAAAGAGCATGAGTAAGTGAAAAAGAAAAAAAACTTTGAAAAACTAACAAAAAATCAACTAGACTTTGAAATTAATTAACTTTTAAATAAAAGTAAAAATACATGACATTTAACCATAATTTCAATAACCATAAAGTTAACATCCAGTGACTATTTAAGATATTAAATGAATAATTTAATTTTTTTAAGTGTATTGTAATAGTTTATTTATTGAAGCATATACTGTTTTGTAAGAATAATAACGACCTATCTAATATCCACAAATTATGATTTATTAATAATATAAAATAAATCATGCATGTTTTTCACATCATTCAGATAAGAATATCTTTAATTTTTATTTTTTTTATAGAGGTGTACATCCTTATCAAGCAGGAAGAAAGAAATACAATGAATTTCAGCATTCACATAATGGTTCACGAACAGTACCTTTTATCGCCATATTCATATATCTGTCTCCCTTCCTTCTCAGTGCGGTTAATCCGAATTTTGATTGACAAGCCGCAAATTTTCCTTGAATCGACTGAAAGTATTTGGTACGTAAGACGTCGCTTTTCATCTGCCCATACCAACCAGCCATGTCATTTGTTACATGGAGCCTTGATGGATCCCTTTTACTTTACCCGATTATTAGATGCTACACTATATTTTATATGTGTTTGAACTAAAACTAACTTTAATTCAATAATAATAATAATAAAGCTTAATGATATTTTTGTCTCTAAAAATATAGACATTTTTGTGATTAGCCACTATAAATATTTTTGTTAGGAAGTAGTCATTCTAAAATAAAAAATTAGAAAATGATCTTTGCCGTTAATCCCTCTTCTGTTAAGTGCTGAGTTGGCTGACGAAAAGTCAGCTCAGCACTCCACGTGGCTTAAAATAGTCCTAGTCAGTTGTTGAAATAGATTGTTGAGGTGAGTCACTTTCAGAAATAGAAAATCTCAAATAAAATAAGCAAAGAAACGTTAGATTAAGTACAATAGAAAAGGGCATCATACTTTCACTCGTGGAGTCTAATTCAACGAGAGTCATTCATTGTGCTACCTAGCATTTGCGTCTAAATCTGAAGGTTATATAGGAGCTGTGAAGCTTGTGCCCAAAAGGGAGAGTGTGTGGAACGTGGGTTAAGGTTAGATTTAATAAAAAGGGACAGTGGGTGTGAAGAAAGTAACTTTTACGCGTGGAGTCTGATTCAACGAGAAGCATTGGTTGTGCTAGCTAACATTTGCATCTCAATTTGAAGGTCGTGTAGAAGCTGTGTAGGTTGTGCCAAAAAGGGAGTGTGTGTGGAACGTGGAGTAAGGTAATGTGTCAATGAAACCCTATTTTATTATTTTTGGATAAGTGAAAATTTTTTAAGTTATTTCTCTTATTAGGTTTTGTTTTTTTCAAAAGATTTGGAAAAAACCTCTTTAAGAAATTTATATTTCAAGCTGACAGATCATTAAGAGGTCAAAACTAGTAAAAAAAAATAGCACTAACAAAAAAAAAAGATTTTAAATTCATAAGACTAAAGACTTTTTCAAAGAGTTTCTGACAATTTTCAAGTTCCTGACACCATGATCGAAAAATAGGATGACAATAAATTATTCAAAGTTTATAAGACTAAAGGTCTTTCAAAGAATTTTTAAGGATTTTCAAATCCTCAATACCCATAATTGGTCAAAAAACAAAAACTAACAGGAAAAATATTCTTAAGTCCACAAAATTGGGGTGAGATTCTATACTTCTCTTAAAATTACTCGAAAATCAAGAATTGATGAGAAAATTATTCTAAGATCGTAAGATTGAGTGAGCTTTCAAATTTCTTCCAAAATTGGTCGAAAAGTATAAATTGAGAGAGAAATCATTTTAAGTCTATAGAACTAAAAAGAGCTCGCAAATTTTTCTAAGAAATTACTCGAAAAATAAGAACTTAAGGAAAAATATTTTAAGTTTACAAGAGACATGATAGGGCTCAAAAAGTGATATCGAAAGAGTTACAAGACTTAAATCAGTTATCAATAGTTACTATTAATGGAAAGTTCAAGACATGAAGAAAGATTGTATGTAATAGCAGTTATGAAATAAGTTACAACCAACAACACAATCATAAGCAATCGTGGAAGCCGCAAAAAAATTAGATTGAGAGTGGTTCATTTACATATAAATACTATAAAGCTTTACATTACCAAGGACGATTTTTTGCACCTAAATACTATCTAAAAACCTTTACATGCTAAAACTCTGCACTGCACCAAGCACTAACTACTAGGAGACTCATGGTGATTGTTGTTCATTGTTGCTAGGAGTCGTACGCTATTTTTCTTGCATATTTACGATTTTGTGTTTTATTTTTCTAATTTGTTTTACGTCTTTATTCATACAATTTTCTTATTATTTAGTACATTGTAAGCATTTGCGTTGAGTTTAATACGTGTTTCTATTTCGTGATTTTATTGTTTCTGCTAAATTGTTTATTTCACAACGTCAATTTTAATGTTACGTTAATAATACATTTAAAAGAATAAAAGTGATGTAAAATTCAGTCTTTAAATTGCTCTTGAATTTATTTATTTACAACTTGCAATTTTTACCGTAAACACCATTCAAGTGAAAAAAATTGTTAATCATTCTTCATATGTTGGAGCAATTTCATTCAAAACGTAGTGTGTGAATAAACGATAAATAACAGAAGAAAAACACAAATAACTTTAATTTATTTGTTTGCTCACCAAGTTATTCGACTGAAGTAATCAAAATCGTCGGAGTGTACTTCAATATTCGGAAGTGAAGATTATGCAGGAGATTATACAGCATGTGTACTAGATAAGTTTATTTTTTAATTTTAATATAAAGTTATCTTATAAAAATATTGTATTATAAATAAAAATAATATAATAACTTCATTGATTTAATTTATTATTTTAATATGAACCAAAGATTAATAAAAAATAAAAAACTACCGTATGTAACAATGGGCACGTACTTTTTTACTCGTTTGAGCGCAAACATATAGTTACAGTATGCAAGTTCGTACTATTTGTAAAGCTTGTCAATCTTCTGGAGTTTTAATCAATCAGGATAAGCTGTAGTCAATTTTTTAGGGGCATTACACAATGTTGGATTCGTGGAGGAATTCCGATAGGGTTTGGGCCTGGCTTTTACAGAAATATTTTGAAGAAAAACTAGACGCGCCTTTAAATTAAGTTAATCGGAAAAATTGACCTTGGAGAAATATTTGTTTTGAGCAATTTATTGACTAGGTCTATATATTTTTTTTAATGTCCGAAATTTTGATATAATGTCTAATGATGACTAAAAAAATTGTTTTATTCTTAACGGATAAAAATTGTTTTACGGCCTCAATTGTTTCTACGAATAAAAGTACTACGTTGTGAACAATAATTTAATAAAAAGAGAGTCAATCGCAAGTTACAGCACTTGACTTTAAAATTTGTTAAAAAATTGATTTACGGGTGAACAGTAAACTAGATACAGAAAAGGCATTTAATCGTTTTTATCGGAAAAAGTTATATATAACCTCCTTGCAAATTATCCTGACGCTTTATTAACACGTCTTTTATGTTACTCTTGCAAGCTTTTAAAATTTTGGAGCGAGTTCAGTTTAAGATATGCCGAGACTATAATATTTTTCATGTCTAATATAAGTTTTAAAAATAAAATTTTAAATATTACTAGCCTTTAAGAAGGGAGTATTTTTATTTATATCTTACTTGACCATCGTCCATTTCACGAGAGAGTAACACAATAATCAGTCAAATCCATGTTTTAAAATTATTTTTTTAGATAATAGCATATTATCTGATTGATGTTTCAATATATTCATTATCTAATGGATATCAGTTGCTCATCTTTAAATAGCACGTCTCTATTTTTTATTCAATAAAACTTAAATAAAATCATTTAAAAATAAAAAAATTAGAAAACATGTTACGAATATTATCGAATTCTAAAAGAAAGGAAAAAACATTTGGAATTTTTTGCTATTCCAAATATTGAAACAGATAATAAAAAATACTGTAAGAGTCAAAGCTTAATCATGCACTTTAAATCGGAGTGTTCCTGCGAGATGCGTGAGGGAACGAATAACTGACCTAACGCACTGTGGTGGTGTGGTGAACTTATTTTAATTAATTAATATTATTGATAATATTTTGGGAGAAACAAAAAGTGTGTTGTTGCATTTCAATCTTCCATTGAATAGAACACGTGGGTAGAGAGGCTGATTCGTGGATTTAGATTAAATATTCGCATACTCACAAAAGCATCTCTTCCATCTCTAAAGCTCATTGCATACCCTCGCTTCTCACAAAGCTAACCATTTCACTTCCATCTTCAAGATCCTGCAAGTCCTCTCTCTATTCACCATCAACTAGGGTAACTAGTAACTAATCGACTAACTAATTTCGTTATTACCTTAGCGTTTACTTTTAACTCTCTCTCTCTCTTCTTATCTTTGTAATACTTACTTGGTGTAAATAGTTGTAACGTTTCGTCATTATTGTTGTTGGTTTCTTAGTGTATGTTAGTGATTTGTTTGGGAAACGAGATGTGGAGGTGAAGAGGAAGGGATGAATGAGATTTTAGTTGAAATCAATGCATTTCTGTGATTTTTCCCTCCGATCTCTTTGTGTTTAGCTACCAAAAGCCTAAGATTGTGGTTATTCTTGGTTTGGTTAAGTATGTAATTATTTTTGTTTTTCTCTTTATAAATGAAGATTAATCATAAGTTTGGTGAGGAATTATTTTCTGACCAAGTGACCCTAATTGTACTAGGCAGTGACAAGGTTAAGGTGTTTGTTTGCCTGGTGACTGTGTTTCGCAGAGTTCAATCTGTTTAGTGTTCAGATGTTTCCCTTGGCTGTATCATATCCAATCTTCATTTGCTGTTTCCTTTTAATGACCTATGAGATATTATTTGTTTTAGGTGGTGGAACACAGAATGGGGAAAATTCAGCTTAGTCTGCAATGCAGGGAAAGTTATAGTTCCTGATATGTATTTTGCTTGTTATGTCTCCTTGTTGGTGTGATGAAACAAGTCAGAATGCAGGTTTTTTGGCAGAGGGAATAAATTATTAGAATAAGGAAAATAAGGGAGATGCTTGGTGCTTTGACATGGTTTTTGAATTTGTTTTATATTTGGTGATATAACCTACGTTCTGAAAATGGGAAGTCCTGACATTGACAAGTCTGAAGAAACCAATAGACATATTGACAGTAACACAACAAAATGCAACTCTAAACAACAGGTGAGTATAAATTTTGAAGGTGTTTTTTTTCCTGGAATATTTCCTTCCCCTGCTTACCTAATAGCCTTTATTGCTTGTCACTCGGTTGATGTGTGAGAATTCCAGACTGTAGAGAAAGCTAATGAACGTCCTGAATGGTTACCTGATGGCTGGAATGTGGAATTCAGAACCCGTAAAAGTGGTGCACTTATGGGATCTGGATATAAGGTGGTACATAGATTCTCTGTTTTTTTTTGGATATTATTGTTGTAGACCATTAGCAACTTTAGTTAGACTGTCTTCTATCTTTTGTTTACCTGAATTCTTATTATTCCTTAAATACTAGTTTGCTCCCAATTGTCTATAATTTGCACTGTCCTCAAGTTTCTGGCCTTGAATCTTGAATAATTTATTAGTACAATTGTCAGTAGCAGAATTTTTTACTTCTCATGACTTAAACATATGATTCATACATTTTTTTTTTCTCCCCTTGTTTGACTTGGGAACAATTGTCCTAAATTGTTGAGCTGAATTTTGGGACACATCCTTTCAGACCATGTTCAAATTATTTTGCAATGGTTATGATATTCATTGGCAGAAGGCTAAAAGCTATACTCCTCAGTTGATGTAAACATATCATGCTGTACTCTACTCCTTCTGGGTGGTATTTTTTTTTCCTCTTGGTTTGTTGTTGGACTATCTCAAAGACTTAAGTTCTTGACTGAGTTCAATATCATTGTATGATCCATATAACTGACCTCACTTAGTGAGATCAGGTTTGGTGGTTGTTGTTGGACTATTAATTTTCAAGCATATTGATTACTGTGTTGCCCTTTGTTTTTTACTTATCCTGTTATTCTCAAATAATTACTCTTTAAAAGGGTAAAGTAAACACTACTTGTAAAAGCTCTGGATGATTTTATTGTCATTTGTTTGTTAGCAATTCAACATTAATAATACAACTAATCACTATGTATAAAACTCTTTTTATGTTGCAGTGTTACATTGATCCGTTGAATGGATACAAATTCTACTCAAAACCAGAGGTATTACGATATCTTGAAACTATAAAGGACAAGGATAACAGCTGCACTTTAAAGAAGGAGAAGAAACGCACCAACATGCATTCTCCAACTGATGTTTGTATCACTGTAGCCCTTGTATCTCTAATTTTTTTATTTTTTATTTATTTGTTATTATTAAGATGTCTCACATTGGTTAGAAATAAAGATAGAATACTCCTTATAAGGATTAGAGTAGTTTACCTTCTATGAGTTAACTTTGAAAGTGAGTTAGGTCCAAGTTTTTTAGTATGGTATAAGAGTCTATTTAGTTTAAATGTTGGGTTGCTAATTGACTCCGGCAAACACACACCAGATGTCTCGCATTGATTAGAAATAGAGACCACAAATTTTACACATCAGATGTCCCATGTTGGCTAGAATACTCCTTATAAGGGTTAAGGGTGGTCTTTCGAGCTAGTTTTTGGAAGTGAGTTAAGCTTAAGTTAATTTAATAGCAGAACTTTATTGTTTACTTTATTTATTGTGTAGACAGGACCATGACATTAAAGTTAATTTGAAAATACAACGATGATGAGGAACAGTATATAGATTAACCCATGAAATAATGCGGCCCTGGTCTGTTCAAAAAATAAAAACGGTTGCATCAGCTTAAGTCCTTACTTTTATTTGTTTGTTTCTTTGTACATCTACTTCACCAATTTGGTTTATCTTTCTTTTGTTGGACTTGGACAATATGGATTGCAAGAACTTTTAAGTCCTAGTTTGTGTTTATCACCCAGTTGCATACATTCTTTCATATGTTTTGACTTTTGTCTACTTGGGTTGTGTGCTCTTTGGGCCATTTAATCCATTTACTTTTTTGAACAAAAAACTCAAATAAAATATAATATGTTTTTTTAATATTGATTATTGGATGAGCCTTTTTTTAGTCCATTGATTTTTTCTATAAATTTTAAGTTATCTTTATCTTTGTAAAATTGTTTTCAATTATTTAATTTTCAAAGTTTTTCTGTGTTTTAGGCTGTGGTTGAGAAGTCTACCTTGGAGGATTTACCACCTGGATGGGTAAAAGAAGTAAAGATTAGGAAGAACAGCAATGGCATTCGGAAAGATCCGGTATGAAGTTTCACTTGATCTTTCAAAGGGGTTCATGCTTTGCTGACCCTCTTCTTCCTAAGTACCACAAAGAAGATGGATACTTATGTAATGTTATATATATATATATATTTGAGAAAGAATTTTCTTACATCAGTGTAAGTCTAAAAACTCTTATATTTAATCTGAGTCTTTCATTTAATTTAAATCTAACGGCCAGTAAAGTAATAAATTATAACCTGTTAGATTTAAGTTTAATGAAAAGCTCAAATTAAGTGTAAGAATTTTTAGACTTACACTGGTGTAAAAACATCTTACTCATATATATATATATATATATATAAGAGGTGGGCTGCAAATAATTTGAAGTGTGGTTTATTGAGTAATATGCTGCATTTATAGTTTTCCAATGGTTTGACGCTTGTACTAATTATTATTGGGTTGCGCTTCCAACAGTTTTATAAAGATCCAGTGAATGGATATGTATTTCGTTCTAAGAAGGATGTCCTGCGCTATCTTGAATCTGGAGATATACGTTCATGTGCATTTAGGCCAAGTAGAAGGCAAATCCAAGATGAGGACAACTTAACTGTAAGAGTTTTTTGCACAAGTTCTCTCTTATTATTGTTGCTTTTATTGAGCATTCTCTTTACCTATCAGTTCTTTGCTCAAACTGTTTAAGGATTAAAAGAATCTAGGGATTATTCAATCACATCAGATTTGAGACTCACTGAAAGTTTAAGCATGTTAAGAATCTTGTTTTTAATGTCAACTTTGCAAATTATTGTCATAGTGACATCGATGTCAATAATCTTTATGTTTGCTTCTTAGAATTCAAACTGTGAATAATTTCATAATCCTGCTTTTGTTCAACGCAGCCATCACCTGCTGCCAAGGGACAGAAATGGAAGCGGTCTGCAGCCAAACAACTTTCTGTAGGTAAGAAACCGTTAATGAAGCATATTTAGATAGGATCTCTTTTCCAATTATACTACAAGCTTCATCCAACTCAGTGGGATGAAAAATGTGTTATTTAGGGTGTGTCTATTGCTATTTCAAGATGTTTATTGCCATTCCTGTACGAGTAATATTTATCTAAAATACTCTCTTTTTTTCTTTGTTAACCAAATTAATAACTAGGATATTAAAAAAAATTCTCAAATTGGAGTCACAATAGACACTCCCTGCCATTTACACATGACACCCATTCCAATATAGTTTAAACTGTTTGCTGCAGCCTCAAAAATGCTTAATAAAAGCAGCTTAAACTTGCCAGGTGTTAGCAGCTCAGGGAAAGGGCAAGATGGGAATGTGCGATCTGGAGTGATGGTTGCTTCAGTTCTCACTTGTGAATCTGCTGTAAAGATGCATGATGGAGCTGCAAATTCTTCTGAAATGAAGAAAGCATCTGACCCAGCTAGCTCAGAACTACCAAAAAATGAATACTTGAAAGAATCAGAAAAAGTACCTGCTGCAGGTGGTGTGGAAGAGAAGGAACATGTGAATATGACGGAGAATGCTAATGAAAAGAATTACAGTAACCATAGTATATCCAAAAACAAGGAGTTCAATGTGCGTCATCGGTTTTCACCAAGACTTGCTGGAATTAAACCTGTTCAGTCAGTCAACAATGTGATCGATGAACAGACTCTTCAGGTTCCAAAAAGAAACTCGAGGAAAAGTAGAGACACTCTAGATGTTGATATGGAAAATAAATTATCTCAGCATTTCAATGGTGTCCCAGAAATTGAGCACATGCATGAAATGCAACAAGAGGTAAAGAACATAAGCAACAATATTTCTGAAGACCAAGCAGTTTCCAAAGAACAGCCATGTCAACATGAAACAGATAAAATAGAAGACAATGAGCCAGAAATTCAAACTAACTCAAACAAATCAAGTAATAAGAAAGGGAACCACATCCCTCGTCGAGCTTCAAAACGATTAGCTAGAATTGAACACGAGTCAACGAACTCCATATCCTGTGTAGAAGCAACCAAATATGAAAGCAAAAGTTCTGAGGATGAGGTCAACGTGGAATTGCAGCAAAGTGAGGGTGGGTCAGTTGCAGTGCTTTCTGATCATGCACCAATGAATGGAGAGTCAGCGAATAAAAGAAAAAAGTCTCCTAAAATCTCATCTACTGCAGAAAAACAACTAAAGAAACTTGAAGATGAAGAAATGTATGATGAGAAATCAGAACATCAACTGTCCTTTGCATTTCACTACTCTTGGTCTGACCCAAGCTTGGAATTTGCAATCAATACCCTCACGGGTGTGTTGCCACCAGTTGAGAATTCAGTTGATAATAGACCCACTTCAGTCCCTGAAACTGAGATTCAAAAACCTTTGATTGACAATGTTACAGGACAAAGTGGGAACAGTCAAAACAATTTGCTTGACACCGATATAGGAAGCAGGGACAGAAACTCCCAGGTACGCTCAAATAAACCAAAGAGAAAGAAAGAGCACAAAGTGCCTATGCGGTTATCAAAGCGACTTGCTGGCCTTGAGCCTGAGATAATACCTTCTGAAAGAGCTCTTGAATATTCCACTCGAAAGTCATGCAAAGAAGAACCAACTGCAACTGCTATTTTAACTAATCGAGTGTCTGACCATCTTTATGATGAGGAGGAAACCAAGCTTACTCTTCAAGCATCTGACAGTTTGAAAACAGAAGTACTAGGAGAATCATCAAATAAGGGTGAGAAGTCATGTGATACCCAAACAGTTCTCAAAGAACAACTGCAGAAAGTTGAAGCTGAAAATATTGATGATGAGATATCGGAGCCACAATTCCCCTTACCGTTTGGGGACTCTTGGTCGGATCCATGCCTAGAATTTGCAATCAAGACTCTCACTGGTGCTTTGCCAGTTGATGCTGGTGCTGACGTTTTGCCTGTTATGACTCCTGACATTTATGACCCACCGTATGAGGAATTGCATGGGAGTGTGGTTACAAGCATCAATGAAGTAGCTCATGATAACTCAAACCAATCACAGAACAAGAGAGAACTTAATATGACTAGTCAACCTGAGTTGAGGACCAGCTCCACATCTTGTGAAAATGCTCCTAAATTTACAACTAGAGTCTCTTATGATCAAGGCAACACAATAGGGTATTTGGATGGAAAACCTCAATATTTTAATGCTGGAAACATACCACAGCCTGTGCATCATTCTACAAATATAAACACACTAACATGTGAAGAGCCATTAAAGGAAAACGGACAAGTTTTCAAGGGTGAATCTGTCACAGCAGGGCAACAACTGATTGAAACTGAAACTATAAACAATGATAATTCTGAATTGCAGTTTTGTGCGTCGTTTATGAATTCTTGGTCAGACCCATGCCTAGAATTTGCATTTAAGACCCTTACAGGCGTGATACCAGTAGAGGAAAATTTACCCATGCAAGGATGTTTCCAGGAACCTGCTAACTATCATGAACGAAAGCATGGTGGCTCAACATTGCCAGATTTTGGATCTTCCAGCTTTTCTCAAAATGATATTTCATTTCACTATGATACAGGAGTGAAGTCAATGCAAGGGCAGCAGTCATCAACGAGCTCTTCATTCCTACCTTTGGAAAAAGCAAGCCTGCAAGGTTTCCCTGAAGTTGATCCTAAAAAACACTATCCTCAGTGCAACAATACTTTTCAAAAAAAGGTAAACTAGTTATACATTTGTTGCTACCCCAAAGATAACTACTATTTGTATCTGATTATACTTTTGTAGACTGCAAAATCATTGTCATGAAGTATCTTTTATATTTTCCTGGCGACTTTTGTAAATACATTCTGATCAAGGTCTGGCTTAGTGTTTTGCTTTGTTGAGAAGATATAGGTGAGCAAAGCAAGGAGGTACAGCAGTCCAAGTGCTGTGTTGTGAGAAGGTTAGCTAGCTACTGTAGTTTGTATCTCTAGTTATTTAGTTCAAGTAATATTATTTCTTTCCCCTTCAGAAAATGCTGTAAAAGGCATCAGTTTACAATTGCGTGTTTAGATTAGCTTATTTTTAGGAAATAATTATTTTTTAATTTTGTTTCTCGAGAGCTTTGGAATTAAAAAAAAAAAAAAACTATTATACCAGCTCATAATTAAAATACTATAAAAAATGGTTATTCTCAAAATTAAACTATTTGTAGCCATTAAGAAATGATTGTCCACTCATTTAAATATTTTATTAGGAATTAGGACTATTATTTGCACGTTTCCAATTGATTTAGGCCATGTATGGATAAACCATAAGTTCTCGTGAAAAATATATATATAAAAATAATAAAATTTTTCTTATAAATTAAAAAGAATTTATTTATTTAAGTTTTGGAGAAGTAAAATGACAATAATTTATAAAGAAATAAAAAAGTATAAATTAATTTAATTTATAGGAAGTATTTTATTTATCTTTATATATATTTTTTATAAGGACTTATTTATAAGGTGGGTCATTACATTCATGACGGGCATTATGTGCCGATCTTTCCCACCTAATTTGTTATGACCTTTTTAGAATAATACGTTGTACTGTTGTAGTTCTTTAAGAATAGGATGAAGTCATTTGTATTGTTTAGTAGCAGTGAGAGGTTTAAATTTGTTAGGACTGTTTGACTGATAAGTGAATATGATTTAGAAAAATATTTTATATTATTTTGTGTTTAACTAACAAGATATAAAGTTTATTTTATCATATATTTTAAGTATAATTTTATTTTGTGAAGAATTTGAGTTAAAAATTAATAAGTTATAATTTAATTTATTGTTTTAATATGCATTATTTATAAAAATAAGATAAGTGTATATTTTACGTTTAAATTATTCTATTCTTATAAAGCAACCAAACAAATTATATATTGTTTAAGAAATGAATTTCTTTATGTTACATGATACGTTAGAAGGTCATTAAAACTCTGTTTTTTCTCCATAAATAACAAATAGACATTATTTAATTTTTATGTAAGAGAGAGACAAATTCTCACCTTGTCATGTTTAAATTAATAATTAATAATTATAACAGTTTTTATTTAATTATTCTCAATTATAAAAGTTGAGGTTAACAATTTCTTTTAAATTTTAATAACTAAATAAGGTAATTGAAAAGTGAAGATCATGGAATAGCCTATTAATATCAAGATCTTCGTGCATTAATTAATATACGCAGTCAGAAATGCTATTAATAAAGGCACTCAGTTTCGGTAACCAGACTCTTTCCATCCACCAAAACTTTCCTCCGGCAGTTCTCTGCGATCCTGCATTAAGAAACGCAAACCCAGCCTTGGTTAAATCATAATCGTAGATTAAAATGTAGTCAACCAATTGGATATATTGCATTTTATGTACTCGACAACCATGATGGAGACGAATAAACAAAAGAAATCCGTATTTTATGTTTACTTTTCATTTATAAATCTTCCATTATTTTTATATCAGATAGTTTTAGTTTTTGGCAAGTACTCTCATCTGTGTAATGGTCTATATAAATAAGAATGTAATTAAACTATATGGAGATAATAATTAAACATTTTATACTATCATCTAATTCAAAATTATTAATTTTTATAATAATAATTTGAAAAGTAATTTTTGATTTAGTTCACAGTATAATGAAAAAAGTACAAAATTAAACCCTATATAAAAGTCAAGATCCATTTATACTAGGCGTCAAACTTGAATTTACTTTTGTGTAAAAACTTTTCATAAAATATAAGATTAATAAATTTAATTATTATATTATTTTTATAATTATATATATCAAATTTTATATAATTTAAATATTTATAAGTATGTTATTTAAAATTTAATATTTTTACATTTTAAAAATATATTATCCATAAAAATAAAGTAATAAAAATATTTATTTATTTTATTTTTGTGTTAAATTTTATTTCATTGATCTAATCTGAGTTATATATAGAAAAAAATAGATAAAAAAAAAATACAATACCTGACGCGTAAAACTGAGGCCAATTCTAATCTCTCCACAATAGTGGCCATCCTTCACAACATTGTATGAGGTGGGTGGAAGACTTCCTTCCGAAAACAATGCGACTAGTGGAATGCTGTAAAAAAATTATCAAATTTAGAAACAAAAAATGCGGTTAATGAAAAGAATAAGATGAATATAGATGGAGAAGGAGAATCACTAACGTGGCTTCTCCTACAAAATCATCAGCCGTTAAGGTGTCACTGTCCATGATCTTCAAGTTTAGTTCGGAAACCCCTTCAGACACGTTGAATACAAAATTCTCATTCCATTCTGGATCACTCCCTTTACCTGCAAGCATATAAATATAATAAGAGCTATTATCTTAGATTGATACAATCTCTTATCTTTATTAGTTTATATAAAAAATGAAGTTATTTATCTTACGTGGCTTGTCAGAACCACATAATAAAAACGCGCCAGCGTTTACGGTTATCTAAACAAATGAACAGAATTATGGTAACGCTTTAATTCCGGGTATTGAGTGTTCAACATTTTCAGTTCATAAGCCTTGCCAGGAATTAAATTGAATTATGAATGATCAATTCATCGTTGATTTGATCTCTGGAGAATGTTAATCAATAAGAACACTCATTTAGAATCAAAGAGAAAAGATTTTATTAAAAAAAAAAATCATGTTAGAAATACACTTCATGATTTAAATATTATAGTTATTCGTTTTTTTAAACAATCTTTCATACTCGTACGTTAGCAGGATTCTTAATCTCGTGGGTAATTAAAATTGACAAGATGTGACAAATGGTTTGAGATCCAGATAGAGAGAGAGGAGATTTACGCATGCACCTGATGCAACGCTGCTTTGTTGCTTCTGAGTGCGGCATGTGAGGATCACATAAGGGTCCATGTTACCTGCTCCATATATAAGATCATATAGTGAATGAATGGTTAAATTGGATCGTTTGATATAATGCATGTGTGAGTAAATAACAACTCACTAAGAAAATCAGTATTCTCAAGGCCCTTGGCGCTAACAAGAAGAACTTCAAGGCTTCCCTGAGGCATTTTGAATGGGAAAGAGAATCTCAGAGAAAAGTGAAATATGAGAAAACTTTAAAGAGACACAATTGGTAGGGTACGGTATTTATTGTGTTAGAAGAGCGAAACAAGACAGTCACCGGTTTTACAGGAATGATAGGTCACCTTATGTTGTAATGGAAAACGGTTACGTGCACTCTCACGGGATATATATATATATATATATATATATATATATATATATATATATATATATATATATATATATAGATATATACTTAATAGTAAGAAATAGAATGAGAGAAAAATAAAATAAAGGTACGTAATAACTAAGAATAGTTAACACTTATGTTTCCATTTTGTTACCTAAAATTAATTAATATAGAAACAAAGAAAATAATATTATTATTTAAAAAAATAGAAAGACAGATTAAAAAAAGGTACGTAATCGATGAAAACAAAAAAATAATAAAATTGAACGAACAGAACAAAATAACAACAATGTTATTTGAATATTATTTTAATTTTATAATACTAAAAAAATATCTCAAGTCCCAACACAAATTTTTTTAAAAGAAAAGTCAAACAAAACCACTAAGAACATAACCTTTCTCAATTTTCCGCCGAATCACCGTTAGTGTGCGCCAATTTTCTCCGATGAAGTGGCCTATATAAACAGGCCCACCCTTCCCCCGTTCTACACACAAATCTCAAAAATGACTCTCACAAAAGCCCTCTTCTTTCTAATCGCTCTATGCTTCACCTCTACACAAGCAGCACGGTTTGACATCATAAACCGATGCCGGTACACCGTATGGGCCGCGGCTGTGCCTGGTGGTGGGAGAAGGCTCGACTCGGGCCAGTCCTGGGCCCTGGACGTGGCAGCAGGAACGAAAGGGGCCCGCATTTGGGCCCGAACGGGGTGCAACTTCGACGGTTCGGGCCGCGGTAAATGCCAAACGGGTGACTGCGGCGGCGTCCGAGAGTGCACTGCGTACGGTGCACCTCCCAACACCTTAGCGGAATACGCACTGAACCAATTTAACAACTTGGACTTCTTCGATATCTCTCTTGTTGACGGTTTCAACGTTCCCATGGACTTTAGCCCCACGTCGAACGGGTGCACCCGTGGCATAAGATGCACTGCTGACATTAACGGACAGTGCCCTAGTCAGCTTAAGACTCAAGGTGGTTGCAACAACCCATGTACTGTGTTCAAAACTAACCAGTATTGTTGTAATTCTGGTAGCTGTGGCCCCACTACTTATTCCAAATTCTTCAAAGATAGGTGCCCCGATGCTTATAGTTACCCCAAGGATGATCAAACCAGCACGTTTACTTGCAAGGGTGGAACTAACTATAGGGTTGTCTTTTGCCCTTGAACGGTTCAATTCACGTGAAAAGCAATAAAGTCTCCCTGTGTGCATATGAGGATATGCACTTCTTTAATAAATATAAATAAAAATGATTTCACGTCAAAGCAATAAATCATCTCACGTCCATGATTTCGCCTCTTCAATCTGAGTTTTTTTAAGTATATGAAAGATGGCATGTTTGAATTTTCTTGGTTAGTTGACTCGAGTTTAACGTAACCGTAATGAAAAGAAAAATTAATATTGGTTGTTGACTTATGAGGTCTTGGGGTGGTATTAAAATGATAGAAAACATGACATTCAAAGAGATATGTGACTTGTGGTGTTTTGACTAAACAAATGTGCATATAATTTTTCATAAAAGTAGAGCAACATGAATTAATTGGATCAATACCTAAGAAAAAGATTTCGCATTTTCTTCCTTAGAACAGGCACAACGACTTTCCGTCCACGTCCACTACACATGCTATGTAGATTGTAGAAATTCAAAGTTGGAAAATATTTTTTTTTTGCGGCACTACACGGGTTTGTCATGAAACCAAATGACCGAATGTGATTTTATGTGAAAATAAATATACGCAATAACTTTGTGTAACGAGTGTGTTCGTTTTTCAAAGTGAATTAAATAATATTTCATTTAATTTAAGGTGTATTGTTATTTTAAATTATTAGGACTTAAAATTGAATCCAGATCTTTGCAGTTTTTTTTAGGAAACAGCAATTAAAATTCTAGTAAAAAGTAATTTTGATTTAAGTCAAAAAAATTTATTTAAGCAAATCTAGTAAAAAAATAATTTTTGCTTAAGTCAAAAAGTTTGCTTAAGACAAGATTGCAAATTTTTTTTAAAATTCTATTTTCTTTTTCTTTAAACTGTAAAAAATTTAAGGAACTTTTATTTCTCACCAATGACTACTAGTTACCAAATACTCTTATATACTTCATCGCACCAAATATTTCAAATGTATTATCTAGTGTATTAGTTGTGCTAAATATTAATGAGATATAAACATTTAGAATCAAGTTAAATTGTTAAGAGTGATGATAAAAATTATAAGAATGATAACTTTAATTGATTAATAAATAGTTACATTATTACATATTTTGAAATACTTTAATTTTTGTAATATGACTATAAAATGTGACCACATGACCTTGTATAGATGTTTTCAAATGTATTGTCTAATGTGCTAGTTATACTAAACATTAGTAAAGTAGAATCATTTCGAATCAAGTTAAATTGTTGATGATGATAATAAGAATTATAAAAATAATAACTTTGAGAAATTGGTTGAAAAATAGTTATATTATTACATGTTTTAAAATATTTAAGTTTTTATTGTATGACAATAAAGTGTGACCGTACGATCTTGTACAAATATTTCTCAATTTTTTTTGTAATTTAAGGAGAAAAAAGATAAAATTTTAAATTTTTTTATAATTTTGACTTAAACAAAAATTACTTTTTTTATTGAATTTACTTAAATAAATTTTTTTAATTTAAGTTAAAATTATTCTTTTACTAAATTTGCTTAAACAAATTTTATTTAGCTTAAACAATTGTATGCTATAATTTTCTCCACGCATAGGATCCGGATCTCTTAAAATTTGATATATTATTAGGGGGATTCTAATATCCTCCTTTCTTTTGTAAAAAGTAAGGGAAAGAAAACTTTTGTAAAAGTAATCATATACTATGGACCGTTGATTTTAATCGAGTGGTTAAGAATGTATTACAGGATACCAGTTATTCAAATTAGATTTATGAAAGGATACATTGGTAATTTCATATTTCTATTCGTTGTTCGTGTTTTGTACCTCTTCTTCTTCTTAGTCATGTTGTTATTTTAATTTTTCACATCGCAACATAACTATGGAACTGTGTCGCATTATTTCCCATTTGGTTTCCCAGCAAACGTGGAACTGTATCAGAAATTATCTCTTAAGGCTCACATTTAACAATGACATGTTTTATTTTAGTTGCACTTTTATATTTCATCTGTGAAAGACATATATAATATTTGATGGTGTTTGTGGTGAAACGCAGACACATTTTCTGCTATATCAACCTTTAAGATACAGATTATAGATGGAATGATGGAAGTGATAAAAAAATTCAATTTGAAATTGTAGGCAATATTACAGTAAGTTAAACGTGAACATCAGTTTGTGCCATAACCCACATATAGAAGAACCCATGTTTATTAGTGTGACAAGAAGAATCTGTTTACCATTTTTGTTGTGAAAATGAAAATGAAGAATATATACGTGAAACAAATAGAAGCGAGAGCTTAATGGGGCTTTACATTTGCATCGATTGTGTTATAAAACCAATATCATTAGGTGACGATCATAATGTTTGCACATGGACTCAATTTGCATCAGTTTTGTGGCAAGTTTGATGTCATCAGACAATCACTTTATAGATTATGTTCATGGACTGTATTTGCATTGGTTGTGTTGGGTTGATGTGGCCACTTTTTACATCTGCTATATGAGAGAACCCATGTAGATATGTGAAGGACTCAATTTGCATCAGTTTTGTGGCAAGTCCGATGTCATCAGGCAACCACTTTATAGATTATGTTCATGGACTGTATTTGCATCGGTTGTGTTGAGTTGATGTGACCACTTTTTACATCTGTTATATGAGAGAACCCATGTAGATATACTTTGTGAAGAACTCAATTTGCATCGATCATCCAATTCAACTGATGTAGAAGTGACAACCCATTTTGAAATTTAAAATAATGGCTCAACCTGCAATGTCGACGGTAAGTGTGTATTATACATCTATTTAGTCCACAAATGTCATTGTCTGAGTATCATATATATTATATTTAATTATTTTGTACGATAGAATCGATTTAATATGTGTATTAATGTTGTATTCAATTAAAATCATATCAGGTATAATTTATTATCCTAAATTTGTATTTGATATAACGAAAATAAAACTGTAGTCCATTATACTATTATTAATTTAAAAATTTTAATTTGATATAATTAATATAAAAATATATCTTTATATATTTGATTTAAAATATATAAATTATGTGCATATTTTACATTCATATTGTATTAAAATAAAATTGAAATATTTTTACTTTACATTTATAATTCAATAGAAAAAGTAATTATATTTATTAAATATTAGACAATGTTTTATGTTAACTTAGTTGTAAATTTAGTGTTAAGTAAAATGAATTTAATTTAAATCTTAAATTAAAATAGTAGAAAAAATAATTTACTTTTGATACATTCATAAAATAAATTTATAATGTGAAGTTAATTTATTTGATTGCATCACTGTTGTAATAAATTAGTGTATTTTCATAAACATTATAGTATTATTAATTAATTAGTTGATACTTTATAGAAGCCTTTAAGAAATTTGTTTTTTAATTTAGTATTAGTAAACAAAATGTGTGATAAAAGTTTAATATAAAGTTTATAAAAAAGTAAATATTTTTTAGCATGATAAAAAAATAATGTTAAAGTATTTGAAATTTTTAAAAGCAGAAATAAACAAAACTTAATATTTGATGGTGTATAGCGGTTTGTGGTGCAATGCAAACACATCTTGTGTTGTATCAACCTTTTTGCTGCAAATTGCATACATGAAATGATGGAACTTATTTATTAATTAAATAACGTAATATTTGTACTTGTAGGCAATATTAGAGTAAGTTAACTTCTACATCAGTTTGTACCATAACCTAGTTATAAAATAACCAATGTCTAAATATTTTCCTTAACAAGGAAATGTTGAGCATTTGTGTTGTGAAAATGAACAATATACAATATATACATGAAACCATGACGTGAAATGGCATGTTGTTATGAACGGAAGCATGAGCTTAATGGGCCTTTGGGCCTTTAAGCGTCAATATATACCCATAATATAAAAAATAAAATTTGAAAGGTGAAGGACAATGGGCCTGAGCGAGGAGCAGAAACATCTTCTATTGCGTTAAATCATGTTTTTCAGACAGTAAAAGGAAGTTATGAACAAAGTGACGTGTTATGTGGGTCACCAAGTCAATTATCAATGATGAAAGGAGTAGTCTGTTTGGGTCCTACACACGCCTGATAGACTCTATAACAGTGTCAGTCCACATTAGGATTTAAAAGAAGGTGTCTCTTCGAATATCCACATGTCAAATAATATGGAATACATTAAAATTTACAAGTACAAGAACTCATATTCGTAAGTAAACCTTTTCACCTCTTCTCTTCATGGGCAGTACAAAGTTGATGGTTGTTGTGATTTAGTATCAGATTGGAGGTACTCATTGCTTGATTATAAACAACCATGAAATTTTATTCTTACATCAGCAAGGTAATAATCTTGACAGCGATGAATTCCGATGTCAACTGAAGTGTGATCAGGTACATAATCTTTTCATCAATTTATTGGATATTGAACGTATTGTATTTTTTTAATTATTGGTCGATGAAATTGTCATTATTTGTTTATTATGTTTTTCAATTTATAAAGGAATATTATATATATATATATATATATATATGATCTGTTATTTTGTATTGATGCACAATGATATAACTATCAATGGTGGCTTTTATAGAAAATGGCTTTTTAATATTATAGAAAAACATTTTCCCTGAAAGATCCTTTGGGTAATGTTATTAATGTGACAGTATATGAAAATGGAAATGCAATAGTCGGTTATTTTAGAAATGCATCAAGACTGATAAAACAATTTTATAAACTTGATAGTGTATAGTTTGTCACCTTTAAGTACGATGGTGATAACGTTTTTGAAATAAGAATCACCAACATGGAAGATGTAGACATTGAATATTGTCAGATTGACCCATATGCACCAAGCAAAACCTTCGTTAAGGTCAAAGTAGAATATGTGAAGATGTGGCAACGACAAGTGTCAAAATCGTTTGCATATGAGAATAATGTACTGGTATGTATAAATATCAAATAAAAATCTAGTGAATGAATGGTTGATTTTATTTATTTTAACAAATTTATTGG